TGCGTTGTTGTGGGCTGCTTGGACATTTTCGTCACTGATTTGGTCAAATGTTGGCTCTGTAATGAAACCACTGCCTTCATCAAATTGAGCATGCGAAGTTCTTATAATCTTCTCTCCAGCTCGAGAGGGGACGTAAACTCGAAAAATGTTATGACCCTCATATCCAACGAGAATGCCGACTTCTGCCCTTGAGGCAAGCTTCTGGCTTTGCACTCTGCATTCCTTTTGGACAATAACATATGTCTTGCATCCTAGAACTCGCAAGTGGGCGATGTTAGGTGTGTGATTCACCCCTGGTTCAATTTCGTCCCAAAATGCTTCAAATGGTGTCTTCCCATCAATGGTTGAAGTGGCCACTCTGTTTGAGATGTAAATGGCAGCTTGAAACAGCTCTGGCCATAGGAATTCAGGAATTCGCTGATCGATTGCAGCAGATCGAACACGTTCAAAAATGGTGCGAAAGCTCGTTCGGCTGTGCCGTCTTGATATGCGCAAAATGGAGTGGACAGCTCAATTGTAATGGTGGGTGCAGCAGATGTGAGAATCTAGCCACCCAAGGAAGGGGTGATTTTACTAAGACAACACACTGTCTTAGGAAACAGAGCCAAAGGGTTGTAGCTTAGACTATTCCACAACGCAGCAATCAGGTGTGTGATGTAGTGAAGTGGTTCAGACAAGTTGCAACAAATGTTGAGTCTGGGAACTCAGGAGTAAGTCAGAGGTTAACACCTCACTGACTTTTCAGAAACAAGGAGTAACAAGATGAATGCTTGGAAGCTTGGAAAAGACGTGGAAGTATGTGATAGTCAATTTACTGTATTGTCTGCTTGCCCTTTCTTAAGGAAAGGGCAATCCTATTTATGCCAAAGGAGTGTAGTTCTCTCATTTTCCATGACTTTCCATGACTAACCAGGCTTGGTAAATGTATTAGAAATCAAGTGCGACCCACAACTAGCTTGCTAATCATGTAGTGAACGTAAGAGAATCCCATAGAACCATCTCTTGGGTTCCTAGCCTATAAGAAGTGAAAAGGAGGTCCAAGGTCAGAGTACCTATAGACAAATTATGTCATAACTTAACCAATCTTGTGGGTAACTAAGGAGCGATGACGTGTAATGAATCATAGAGGGTTGTAGAAGCTTCTAGAGCTATCGTTCATGTTCCTAGGCCTCTAGTTGGTAGAGATATGCCATGTGGTAGTATTGGCCCACCCCCTTAAGGAGGAGATTTTCTTAATAACTTGTTCAATGAGTGTCCAAATGATATGCCGTGATGTATGTAGCATAAACAGATGTAGTAGAAGAGTTTGCAGCAATCGTTGAGTAGTATTGCTTTTGTTGTTGGTGTGATAAGCCAAGATATGTATGGTGACTTGTAGGTTTGAGGAGGAGATTTCTAAGTTTGCTCTTGAGTTTGATAGCAAACTGAGTGCAACGAATGTCAGTATGACATCAATGATGGTTCCGAGATCTGCTGTAAGCTCATCGATCTGGGTAGGAGCATATTCCTTTCCTCCATCCATTCTGAATCTCTTAATTGTGATGTTGTATTGTGTCTTTGCAAGTCGAATCATCCAGACAATGCATTTGTACACGTCACCCTTATTCTTAAAGGTCCATCCATAGCGGACACTGTACTTTCCACAAGTAAACAGTATGCCATACTTCTCTCCGTGGAGTCCGTGAGGTGTGATAGTAACAACATCACAATGAACTTCTTCAAGAGCTGTTTTCGGTCTTAGTCGAGCTGAAATTTTGTTCACTCGACGGATTGGCTTTGCCTCTTCACATGGCTGGCACAACCTCGTCGCAATGGCAGTGGCTATATGAGATCCCATTTACCATGTCTTTGGTCTTGCGGACGTTATCGAGTCCAAGATGACAGAGGCGTCGATGCCAAAGTTCAATGTCTGTGTTCTTATGCTCAATCGCAGCAGGTAAAATCAAGAGCAGGATAAGTGATTCCTTTGCTTCCATTTTGAATTCGTAAAGGAACAGATCTGAGTCAACTGTGCCCATCTCATTGCCATGCTTATCGAGAAGCTGGCCATTCTGTAGATGACCTCCGCTGCTATAAAGCTTCTTTCCGCTAAACAGGCAAACTGGCGAGGAAGGCATATAGATGACATGATGGAGGGTAATTTGGGTCTTCTCTCTGTTTCCCTTTACTCCAAAAAGTCGAACTGAGCCACAGCCTTGAGGACGAACAAGTCCATTTGCTGTATTCATGAATGGTAAATCCATGCGCTCTTCGTAAGTGTCAAACTTCGCAAGACTGTTTGCAATGTGCTCATCTGCTCCTGTATCGAATAACCACCTATCTCTGCTTATAGTGTTCGATTTGGCAGGCATTGAGAAAGCTACAAGGTCGAAATAGTTCTTAGAGTCATTGCCCTCATCTTTGGTTTCATTTTTCTTTTTCTCAATATGCTTCCGATATGGGGTCCATTTCTTCCCATTCTTCCGCTCCCACTCATCACGCTTCTCCTTGTTATTTTCGAGGCAGTCTTGAGGTGAGTGTCGAGGTTTCGGCATTGTGCAATGTGGGCAAGATGGTCGATCTCCATTCTTCTTGTCCTTGCTTGGGTTTTTGCCCTTACCCGTTCCTTGAGATTTGTTTCCGTACAAGGCATTCGAGCCTGTAGGAGTCGATTTCGATCTCGCCTCATCTGTGAGGTCATTGATAAGAGAGTCGAGAGTGATGCAGTGATCTGGAGACCGAAGGAGTGATCTTTGGCGTTCTGCCCAAGTTGGCCACTTGTTCGCACAAGAAGCTATAAACATAACAGGAAGCCAATCATTATGAGGAGGGCATTGTAGACTCTCAAGTTTGTCGATAGCTTCACGGACAGCGATAATAAATGTGTCAAGCGAAGAGAAATTCTCGTACTTGAGGTGAACATAATCCTGAATTGCATTGTATCCACGGGGATCCACAGAATATCAGGTGATGGATAACATTGGATATCATGGATATTATGTTATCCATGTTATCCACGGATATCCCTTTGGCACGACACCACTATATAAGTAGATAGTATTCCTTAGATAGGAGCTTCGTGCTCAACTCAATATAGTATTCTTTACAATACTGTAACGTGTTACTTGGAAAGCCTTTGTGTTTAATCCCATGCCTCCTCTGTCAAGTCAACCTTATGCAAGAAACCTCTGTGTCTTCTATCATTTAGAAGTCAGCATTACAGAGGATTGCAAGGGAATTTGGAGAAGTCCATAAGTCAACTGTAAAGTGTATATTTGTAAGGGCAGCTTGAACAGCCTGTCGAGTGATAACCTTCTCTTCTGTATATTTACGAAGGACCCAATCGTGAATTGTTGTCGAGCTATGAGGCAGCCATTCATTGATGGCTGGATTTAAATAGTGAAGCATGGTATATATATATTAATAAAAGCCTTAAATCATGAAAGGTAGTACTACTTACGTGCGGAACTCAGGGATTGAAACCATTCGGAATGGAATTCCACATGCTACTATCCAGTGCACATAGAGATCTTCCTTTTTCTGTAGGAGTAGTCAATGTATTCGTATTATTATAGTCTGCAAGAGCTTCATCATTTGAGTGGAATAGAAATGCTTGAGCTGCCAAGTTGATAATATGACCATTGTAGCGAAGGCGGTGATGTTCTACATTGTAGACAATTTGATACTGATCAAATAAGACTATTTATAAACAAGTTAGCATAAAACTATAGACTTGTTTTTATAACCTATTGATTACTTATACATACGTGTAGACAATGCTTCTATCATGTATCATTATTGCTTGCATTATCTGTTGAACTAAGTGGATTATCTCAGTACAGCGGTAGAAGTAAAAGTAATAATGGTGAACAGCAGAGCACTGGTGTATGTGATTGTTTTGTTGTTATTAGAGTGAAGCAATCTACGGAATCTATATACTCCGAGTGAGGTGCGCTACCTCGGTAGGTAGCCACCGCACGTCTCAGGATTCAGGTCAGAGCAACCACCCCTTATTTTGACATAATGAAACCACACTGGAGTTATGGCTAGGCGATTGAGGCCCACGTTTGCAAAACTAGTGATCTCCTCGCAATGCGGCAAAGCCAGCCCGGCTGACATTTTTTTCGCTCCAACAGGGCCTCAGTTAATTCCCAGTTGCGACTTCGAATATCTATGGTGGCCGCATTCCAGTCCGCAAACAGTATCCTCTTTGTGGTATTTGTGGACCGATGAATGTGTCTATCGCTTCTGCCTCTTGTCGATGACCTGTCTCTTTCAGCGCAGACGGAAGGACTTGGGACCAGGGTTAGAGCAGACAACAAAGCGGATATGGCTCAGAATTTGGTTCGCGCGAGGGGCGCGGCTCATGACTGAATTTAACCTCGGAGGTTCCACATGATGGTTGGTTGATCCCCAAATAGGGGCCTTGTGTTAAGTCGTGTGCATTTTCCATGGTAGGGCGCTGTTCGCAAAATTCTCATTTTTGGTCGGGTGTAATTGTGAGTCGGCAAAATTATCCAACTCAACCATATCTTCCAACTCAACTATTGCAACCCTGCTATTCCCCGTCTTCTGAAGTTGTGCCCCATGGAAGATATGGACAAAAAGAAGCCTGCAATTCCTACTGCAATACCACAAGTGAAGAGGAGGCCTGGCAGACGCGTGGTGTCTAGGGAACTACACGGCGAAGCACCCTGACTTCTTTATAGGGGGTTAGGGGTGTGATACGGGGTCTTCGGGTGCGACGGCGCTGGGAAGAACCAGCGGCTGGGGTGGATTAGTGATGCTTAGTCTTGTGATCTGCGGTTATGTTGTAGGAGCATTGGCGGGGATAACCAAGGATGTGCAGTTCGCCGCATTGCAGTACTGGATGGCCGAGAATTAATAATGAAGTGGAGACACAACAACTACTGAGATAAACATGCGCAAGCTCGCCATATACTTGCAGATTTAGTATCAGGGGTAGGTGGAAAGGAGAAGAGGCAACCATCAACAGGAAATATTTACGGCTACAGATATAGTGCGAAGAGAACCAAAGTTATGATTGATGGAAGTAATCCGTGACTAAATAAATATATGATGTAGCCGCCCAAATAGCATTTATCGTCCGTAGACGGGATATCCTCCGTAATGCCCCAAACTCCAAACCCAACCCACCCATGACCAACCAGCACTCTACCGCCACGTCCCAGGCAACTCAGCCCTCTCCCTACCCCTCCTCTTCAACCCCACCTCCCCTCCCCCAACGAGACTACTCCACCTCCTCCCCACACTCCGCCTATCCCTCCCAACCATCTTCGCGCAGTCCATCCACTCCCGTCGACTCAGCCTCAGTTTCTGCAACACAAGTTCAACAAGCACCCTATCCTCCTCATTCGTCCACTCCCCCTCATCGCCCTCACCCTCCTCCACCACCTCAGACGTCTCCCCCACTGGGCCTCCTACTATTCCCAGCGCATCCGCCTTCACCCCCTCACTCCGATACTGATGCGCATCATGTAACCTCTCAAAGTCCCCCCTCACAAGCCCCAACGGCATCATCTCCGGCACACCCCTACTCCTCTTCGGCGTCCTCGGCCCTTCCTCCTCCTCCTCCTCCTCCTCCTCCTCCACCACTCCCCTCCGCCTCTTCCCCGCCCCCCTCGGCGGCGCACGCTTCACTATCCTCTTCCTCGGTATCGGCTTCACCGGCAGCGGCGCCTCAGCAACAACCGCAGCGCTGGCATCACTCGACGACGGCCGCGACGTCGACGACCGCAGACGCAGCTTCATCGGCGACGGCAGCGGGACGTGTCGCATTGGCGGGGTGGGAAGCTGCGTCTGCGGCTGCGGCTGCGGCGAGGCGAGCATGCTCTGCAGGGCGTGACATGTGGCGAGGAGGGCGGAGTGTGAGGATGTGGCCTGTTGTGAGGGAGAAGCGGGCGGGGAGGCGAAGAGGGAGGGAGGAAGGGGGGCGCGGCGAGGGGGCGGGCAGAGCGCAGGGAGGAGCATCGTTGACGTTGTTGAGGTTATGACTGTGAAGGTGGTGGTTTGTGCGCCGGCTCCGGCCGGGCGGTAACGGTCGCGGATTGCGCGGGCGGGCCGGGTCGAGGTGAAGGCCTGTGTGTCGCGGGTATGTATAGGAGATATGATATGAATGGCTTATAGCTGCGCGGAGTATGTGCGACAGCGAGCTGTGCTGCTCCTCGTGGGGCTGAGGGGCAGTTATGGATCGATATGCGCCGTGAAGTGTCCAGTGTTATGCAGTGCGATGCGATATGATGCGCAGGAACAATGGTAACAGCGGATGTGGGTGGACGAGGGAAGGGGTCTGGCGGGACGGCCAACACAGGCCTTAATATGGGCAGCCTGAGGGTAGCCTGGTGTCCCCGCTCCGAGACCACGATGCCGTGTGATTGGCTGAGAGAGGGGTGCTTCGGACGGCGCGTGATGGGTTCAAGGGGTGAAAGCTAACTGGAAAGAGTTTAGTGGAAACTGGTGGGACCCAGGTCTTCCGCCCTTGTGAAGGCCCTGCGCTATTCCCGCTTAGTAGTAGCGCTGTTTGAGAGACGCATCTTGCGCGTTTTGACGCGTCGAGAGGGTCGCGCCCTTACGCGTAAGTGCCTGCATTGGCCAATCAACAGTCAGGTTTGAGTTCATGAAACAGGCCAGGCGGAAGCGGGCAGCGGGTGGGTAGTGTTGTTCACAGACGGTATGGAGATCAAGGAAGGCATATCAGACGGCATGGAGATCAAGGCAGGCATGTCGAGTTTAGATCAAGGCGGGCATGTCGAACAGTTTAGAGATCAAGGCGGGCATGTCGAACAATTTAGAGATCAAGGCGGGCATGTCGAACAATTTAGAGATCAAGGCGGGCATGTCGACAGTTTAGAGATCAAGGCGGGCATGTCAATGCACCCATCCATATCGAGGTGTGGAGATCAAATGGGCGGGCACATCAAAGATGTCAAAGAGGATGAACAAACCAGCTACTCACGTACAGTAGAATAACTAACATTATACTCACAGTGCTTCTCGTCTTGTATGTACAGTACATATATATACTCGCTTTTTCATCCCATCTCCATAAACCATCCCACCCTCCTACCATTCTACCACCCCTCCACCTTCCTCATCTTCATCCACAGCCCATTCTCCGGCTTGCTCGTAGCCCCCCTCTTAATCGGAATCGTCCTCTCATCCTCCATCCTCGGATCCGCCAACTCAAACTCAAACCTCCCCACAAAAGCAGCCACCAAGCACGCAAACTCCCCTCTCGCAAACTTCTCCCCAATACAGCTGCGTGGCCCATGTATGAACGTCAGGAACGCATAGTTCGACTCCGCACCCCCACTCGCGTCCCGCAGCCAGCGCTCCGGCTCGAACTCATCCACATCCGGGCCCCAGAGCTTCGGGTCGCGGTTCGTCGCGCACGGCACCAGATACAGCATCGTGCCCTTGGGGATGGGCACCCCCTGGATCGAGGTGTTGACGTTGGCCTCCCGCAGCGTCATCGGCACGGGGGAGTGGTGCCGGAGGACCTCTGCGCACACGGCGTTCAGGTAGGGCAGCCGCTCGATGTCGGCCGCTGTGATGGAGTCGCCAGAGTCGGGGCTTGGGAGACCGGCGCGCACTTCGGAGCGCAGACGCGTCTGCATGGCTGGGTGTATGCTGAGTAGGTAGATGGCCCAAATCATAGCTGTAGCAGTTGTTTCATGACCGGCAGCGAGGAAGGTCATGAGCTGGTCGACGAGTTGGTCGTCGGTGAAGGCGCCGGACTCGAGAGCCACGCTGAGGATGTCCTTGTCTGCTGCTAGGCCTTTCGCGAGGCGTTCCTTCTTCTTGGTGATGAGGTCCCGGGAGATGTCGCGAATTATTTTGGCGGATTTATTCACTTCCCTGTTGTACTTGAAGGGCAAGTGCCTAATGATGACGTGGGGGATAAATAAGGACAAGATTTGCAGAGCGAAAGCCTGGCGAGAGGGCCGGAACGTCCTGACGTATGCTTGATACAAGTCGCCTGTTGGGTCAGCGATGGCATTGAAGTCCTGCCCCATTCCGGCGACCCCAATGATGTCTAGGGTCGCGCGGTTAAACCACTGGCTGACGGATACGATTGCTTGGTCGCTGTCTAGCTTGACGTCTCGGCTGACGCCGGCCTCAATAGCATCTTCTGGAGGTGGGGCGCCGGCAGTGTTTTTGATCTCGTCGTCTATGGCGAACACAACCTCGAGCGATTTAGACCAGAACGTCGGGAAGAGGCTCTTAACATGGCGGAAGGCGAACGCGGGCATCAGGTTCTTGCGTTGAAACTTGTGCTCGTCACCCTCGGCCAGGAGCACGCCGATGCCGAGTAGACGCCCGATGCCTACGGAGACCTCGTGAGGCTTTACGAAATCATAGGACTTAGTAGTGAGAACCTCAGAGAGGGCCTTGGGAGAGGTGATTAAGAGGCGCTCCTTGTTGAAGATGCCCAGGAAACGAATAATGCCATCGTTCGGGATTGTTCTAGCCCTGAGGAGGTTAGAATAGAGGAAACATATACGAAGCAATGTGGCTCGATGTGACTTACCATTTTCGCTGCGGACCACCCAGATTTTCTGCAGCCATGTTGTCCCATTGTCCCATGAATAAACCGTTATCCTAACGGCGCATATTTTAGCTCAGTGGCCACTGTAGGGAGTCTCTATCAAAGGTTCACAAACCTTGGGGCCGGGTAGGTGTCTCAATGGGCTAAGCCTATGCTTCAACAATACGTTGTAGAAGACCCAGACTGCAAACTGCAACAGGAACCCTTCAATAAAGATTCCTATATATCCAAATGTAAGATACCATGGCGGGATTATGACACGGTTCCCAACCAAATATGATGCTACAGCTGCTACCGCCGCAAATATCGTATATTTGGAAACCATGTTGAGGCCTTCCAATTGATGCACCTTCTGTGTGAATGGGTGATGTTGGTAGTTTTGATAATAATGAGAAGCGTGAAACTTAAACCTTACGCTTTATAGGAATAGTAAGAGAGAGGGGCAGGTTTCTCGCGCGAGTGGGTACGGAAAAGAGAAACCGAAAATCTACATCCGAGTCAAAAAGTCTTGTACAAGTAGTACGAAGAAGGAACGGCTCCCAAGGCCACCCGACACCACAACACACCGTAATATCGCGGGGTAGAAGCGATATCACGCAGCGACGCAGAAGACAGATCGCGAGGCCGAAGCCCTCTCAAAGCAAGGAGGTGCGCATGGCCATCACCTTGGATATCAGAGACTTGTCAGCACGCTATAGTGGCGCTATTCATTGGACAGGCCAATCGGTCACTGGGTACCGCGGGCCAAGTGGATCGCCGTGCCGAGGTTGTATTACGACGACCATGGGATGTGATAACACGAGGGATGGATCGTTGACATTGATGGCAGTGGGTGGAGCTTCCGGGTGTGGGGGAGGTGGGACCCAGCGACACTTCTCGACTCAAACCGATGAAAATGCCCTCGTAGAATTCCATCATATCTATTGTACATGCTTATCTTATATATATGTATATATTACACTATGTTTACACGCTCAATTAATACACCAGAAGATTGAGCTCTCAGCTCTCAGCCTCTGTCTGCCCTCTGATAACCCCACCAGGAATATCGACTCTGGTGAAATGAGCTGGCATATGGGTCTGCTCTGCGTCTTCCCTGCGTAAATACAGACCATTCTCAGAGAGTATGCTTAGTTGATTATAAGCCACCGCGAGCTCCCTCCGTGCTTCGTCCCCAGACGTCTCTAAGGGCGGCAATGGAATATCATCGATGGTGGATGGGATACAGCCGAGCACAATCGACGGGGTAGTGCAGTCGACTTCACGGGGCTCCAATTTCTCGGGCTTGTTTAAGGGTAGAATTGCACCAGCAAGTTGATCTAGTTGCTGATGCGCAATTAAGAACTGGATATAAGACCCTGGTTTTGCGATTTGGCCAAGAGCCTGCGTCTGCTCGGCGTCGCTGTCCAGAGCGGATCCCGGCTGGGAGAAGTCATATCGAGCTTCACCTGAGCCGAACTGTGTTTCAGGGTCGAGAGAAAGGAGGCCTGCCTTGATTCCCCAGCCGCCGCCACCAGATACTATGACCCGTTAGTTGGACACGAATAGGGGTATATGCGGAACACATTGGAATATATAAACATACCGACACGGTGTAGGCTAGCTCCATGTCGTATCGCATCCCAGACACGAATAGGGTAGTCTTTGGCCCATTTACCAAGGTCGGATTCATAGACTTCACCAGGAAAAACCAAGGCCCATACGCCAACTGTTTGCTCCGGCAATCCTCGCGATGACAGATACGAGACCACACTCGCTTCAAGCTCACTAGATGCGGGCATTTCTTTCCCGCTAGCATCTGTGAGCGTCCGCACTATGTTCCCGAGTCCGCTTGCGACATGTCTGGTCTCAGTAATAGGTTCCAGGGGGACGCTGGTGGAGCTTTCGAATAGCTTCCCAGAGAACATATCAGAGATGGTCAAAGACTCTAGCTCACTACTTCTCGTTTGCTCAAATTGGCTCCCTGGAGAGCTTCGTTCCCAACGCACTTCAAAAAGTGTGGATGTGCGTCCATTACGGAAAGTCGTGTTGGCGAGAGGCATGGTGATATCTGAATACTTCTGAACGGCCTTTGTAGGCTCAACAGCCGTTGGATCATGAACCCTAACGGTGATGCTTGAGCTATCAGTGGGATTTGATCTAGAGTCCATGGAGCTTTGCTTAAGCCTCCGTTCTTGTTGATATTCCCCTGGCTTACTTAGAATGATGGAAATACCGAACCCCTCCGTCGGTGTGATCCCATCACTATCTAGGTCGGAGATATTGGGTGGGGCCAAGCCATCAACCACCCCCAGGATAGTCTCTACCTCGGTTCCATCCGGCGTAGCTGGAAATATTGTTTGAAGAAGATTTGGGATAAACGGGCCATTTTCAAGCCACGTTGAAAACGAAGGAGTTGACAGTATAACAACAGTTTTTTCCGTATTAGCGAGTAAATCAGTGTATTGTTCTGAATCAAACGAACTCTGAACCTCTTTGATTTTGCTTAGGATGTCATTGGGTTTCTGTAGGCATGTAAGTATATATTTATACCAGCTTCCACAATAGTATAAATTTAGGATTTAACTTACTAGCGAAGCTGGCGATCCCGTCGTTATACTAAATTGTTTCCGCCAAGATTTTTCTGATCTGACCAGACGTGACGGCCTTTCGGCACTGCCATAATATTGTTTGGAAATAAGTGTTATGCGGGGAATACTCTGCAAATATTTAGGCCTTAGCAAAGTTACCAATTGCTTACAGATCCCCTTCATAGCCAAGAAAGTCGCATAAAAGTTGGCCAGGGATTGTACTGAACGCCTCCCTCAAATGCAACACTGTCAAGTCAAAGTGCTACGAGTATGCAATTGCTCGCCACTTCCAGGTGTCTTATTTGCAACCGAGGTTACTTTCGCGCTGGATACTTGTATTAGATGGGTCAGTTTTGCATCCACACAGCTGGCGATGTCTTCATTACTGGGGCGATACTGGCGCTTAGCGCTTAAATCGTAACCAGCAAGGTAAACAGAAAAGTTTAGCGAAAGCTGGACGACATCAATCCAGGTCCACCTGCAAAACTCGGAACGTGTTTCACTTCTATACATACAATCATTCATACTGCAACCCTCTCTACGCGCACAGCCCATTTTCTCCTATTCTACTACCTGCGCAATGGATCGCAGCTTAGATGACATTGTTTCTGAGCGCCATGTATGTTTGTGTTGAACTCAGCCTTTCAGCCTTGCCCCTCTCGTGCATTGGCGCTGACTGTCCCGGATAGCAGAACAAAGACTCTCGAGGACCAAGACGCGGTGGCCGTCGCAACGATAGAACTGAATATCCTCGAGATGGCATAAGAAAGGTTGCTCAACATCCACCACGACATGCGCCGGGTGACCCAGATTTGCTAATGCTGTACTCGCAGGTTTATACAGCTCCTTCCTCCTCCAAAACCTCTTTCGCGTCTCCTCGGCGGCAATCGCAGCCGGATCCAATTGGAGCGACATTTTGAATAGTTGCCTGAAGCACAAATGTATACGAGGACCAGCTAACGCAGGACTTCCCTTGGACACAGTCGATACGAGACGAACCTAGAGATCTTGATTCGTGGGTTAAGATGTTTCCAAGTCAGTAATGGCCAGACGCTGATGTTCAGCAGTGAATGGGTACACGACAAATACAACGATAATAGTATGTTCGAATCACGCGGATCCCGAAAAATGCATCATACTGATTGACGGATAGCATCGAGCAATGCCGGACGCCCAAGACGATACTCCCCAGACCGCGAGAGAGCATAGTATGCTGTTCCGTACCTCCTAAACAATTACAGATGTTGACTGCCCTATTCAGCGCACCAGCAAGCTCGAAATTACGTGTCGACAACGTGCACTACGACCTGACGGAAAGCGATCTCGATGTAGGCAGACCCAGGATCCCGATACTTGGAGCTTTGCTGACAGCTCTAGGGCCTTTTCAATCGCATTGGCCCGGTTGCGAAATTGGAGCTCGTTTACGATCGTGCAGGCCGATCCGAGGGCATTGCTTACGTGACCTATGAGTCCGCTCGTGATGCTAGCGCCGCAGTTCGAGAGTATGATGGCGCAAATGCGAATGGTAAAGCTCCGTACTCTTTCTATTCCTTCGGTTTATTAACATCTCACAGGTCAACCCATCCGTCTGGTAGCAGTGCCATCTGGACCTGGTGGTGGCGGCAGACGTAACCCGTTCGACAGCGCCGTACTCCCTCCTCGTTCGTTGGCAGACCGTATCACCAGAGCGGCAGGCTCGCGCGATCGCTCTTATTCGCCAGTCCGCCACTCTGATGTCAGCGGCCCTCCTCCACCAAATGTCGACAGATATGTCCCTGGACGAGACCGTTCGTCTCGCAGCCCGATGACACGCCGTCGTGATGGCCGCCCACCCGGAGCCAGAAGGGAAAGGGGGGACCGTTCTGACAGAGGAGACAGCCGCCGTGAGGCCGGTGGGAGGTCAGCACGTCGTCCTAAGAAGACCCAGGAGGAGCTCGATGCTGAGATGGAAGACTACTGGGGAGGCGGAGCGAAGGAGAATGGTGCTGACAAGCCATCTGGGGCTGCTGCGCCGGCTGCTTCTGCCAACACCACGGGAGATATTGAAATGGCAGAATAGATGCTTGGTAGCTGTGAATCCTGGTCGGTGTGTTGGTTGTTATCACTCCAGGTTATGCTGAGTTCGTTTCTACTCGGGGGTTTGTCCGGTAGTCATAGGTAGCTCGTGGGTTTGAATTAGGTTGCAAATAAGTGTAGTGTAGAATGGCATTAAAGTTGTTAATCAAGATAACCTGATATTGTGGCATTTTGCTGTGACTATAATGTAATGTAGTGTAATTCGAATAACAATGAATGTATATGGTTCAAAGAAAATAAGCTGCCAGCATTACTTGCTAGTACATCTTGTATTTGATGATTCCAACGGACATCAGGGCAATGTAGAGCATACAAAATGATTCAATATTATAAAGTTAGCTTCAAGGGGTTATTGTATGGGATTCGATTCACTATATATTAATCGCCTCATTCCATCTTTGTACTAGGCCTCTTTATATTATATGCCGCCGATACAATCTTGACAGCAGCAGCCCCTGAAGGGTTTAAATCTATAAGTTAATAACTTGCTATAATATTCTACCGTAAAGCATTGCCTGTGTAATGGGTTGATAAAAGCTACTGCCGGATAAAAGCTACTGCCGGAAGCAATTGGGCGCGGTTTCAAGCAAGAGAAGAAGAACTATTTGGCATTATGATAAACGGTTCCAATTCTCGCTCATAATACAATGAGCCATCGCCATGGGATTAACGTCTAATTCAATTCAGGCGTCTACTTACTCACTTAAAACACTATGAATTCTCGCCGTAGGAGTAAACGCTGAATCAGGCATTTGCTTACCTATCCAAGGATAAATAGAAAGAAAACGTGAGGAGCTTCCCTCTCCGTTTTCTCACATAACATCAACAGAAGACATCTTCCACACATCAACATTCTGTGGGCAATCAAAGCTGAGAGATTCGAAACGAAACGTTCCACGAGGTATGTTTACCTTTTCTTTGACGAGACGCTCTATTGATAATAGGTAGCAAAGCCGCCCTGAATAAGGAGAAAACCCATCGGCGTAGCAACTATCATATCAGTGAACGTCCACAACTACACACTTGGAAGCTAACAACAAACTCGATTCCGAGAGTGTCAACCTCAACAACTTCCCACTTGGAAGCTATATCAACTTGCTTCTTCGAGTGTGAACATCAACGCTCCACACTTGGAAGCCAGCTTGCTTTCGAGGGTGTGGACGACCACAACTGCACACCTCGAAGCTACAACAACTTGCTTCTGAGGTTGTAAAAGTCTGTGACTACACACTTCGAAGCTACACTTGCTTCTGACAGTGTGAACATCAACGTCTGCACACTTGGAAGCTTCGCCAACTTGCTTCTGAGGTTGTGATCGTCTGCAGCTTCAGACTTCGAAGCTCCGACAGCTTGCTTCTAAGATTGGATAAGGTCTTTCTTCCTATAATACACCAGGACTCACGTCAATATCCCACATCCCTTAAAGACGAGCAAGGTTCGCCTTTCCATACAGCAAGAATAACAACACTTGCTCACCTCATTTTTGCAAGATGGCAGGAAAGAAACGTACAGCGGCGCCTTTGCCGCCAAACTCAGGCTTCAAAGCCTCTGCTTCTTTTTTGATGGCTCGAGTAATTGGGCCTTCACAAGCTACCCGTGCCAAACCGGTTGCCATGAACGAAGAGGCACACACGGAGTTTGTACCTGTGTATATACACACAGCCAAGTGTGATATCTGTGAAAAACGAAACGATTCGGTTCTCCAGCGCTGCGTGACATGCACGTCTCAGTTTTGTTATCGGTGCATGCTGGGTGGAGATGGAATCCACGTCAAGAGCTATAATATGGACTGGACAGACTATGGTGCCCAGGCAAACTCCACCTTTAAGGCGCAGAAGAAAGCGCAAGAACACCTCGCCAACCACGTCGCCAACCACAAGCCTGGCAGTGCTCTTCAACAAAGATACACTTCAGCCTCGGAGATCCCATCCTGCAGGACCAACCACAGAGAACTCAAGGATGCCCACAAGGGAACAATGGAGGCCTTTGTTGCGGATGAGATTCCGGCCAAGGCAGGACCCGCGCACAAGGGGCAAAAGACTACCGCCACATATCAACAACCAAACCAGGGGAGGCCAGCACCTGCGGCCAAGAAAAACACCAGAGCCGAAAATGTCACAAGGAATCGCACGGAGGCACAGTTCCCCTTAATCATCCCCGGTCACAAGGACGATGGCCCGAAGTTCCAGAGATTTATTTCCAACCTTCAAGAGACGAATGGCAACGACGAAACGGAGGGGGAATGGACCTCTAGTGACAATGAGGACCACGATCCTAGGAGGATCTCGGACTTTTTCTCTGGCCCCATCGGGGTAATTGGCAGGAAGCGTAACTCTCTGAGACCAGCCCAAAACCCCTGGACCAAAGAGATCAAAGAGAACAAAAAGGACATCAGAGCGGAGTTATCTCTTATTGACCGCCACTTGGACCTTCTCAATGACAAGAAAAAGCTGGCTCTGGTGAGAAAGATGCACATTGACGATGCCCTGGATGCTGCCTGTATCTTGATGAGCATGCGAACCGATGCAAGGGGCTTCCCGGATGAAAAGGAAACCTCGGCCCCTCCAAGCGAATCGCTGGCAAAAAAACTCAAAAGTGGCGAAGCTCTGAACAATGCCCATATCTTCACAGGCATGCGGACCAGTGCGAGGGGCATTCCTGTTGATACAGAGTATGCTTCCAAAGGCACTCAGGCAAACACGAGGCTCCCTTTCAGGGACGGCCTGGGAAGAGTATTCGAAGGTGATGAGGCCGTAGGCGCTTCTACCTCGACGGGCATGCAAACTGACGCCGGGTTCTATCTCGCTGAGAGGACAACTCAGCTCACCGAAACTCAGAGGTCTGCCCTGGAAAAAGAACGCAAGATTGATGCAGTCGTGGAAGCTGCTTATTATTCCTTCATGCGTGAGGGGCGGTCCTCCAGATAAGACACAAAGGAACCAGAAAATGAGAGAACCTCCAGACAGTGATTTTGCGGGGTGGAATGTTAGGGAATGCATGCTGTCTGTATGAGATAAGTGGTGTCTGCATGTAATGACAATGGAGTTCTTTAAAAATCACTGCTTGCCCCTTTGCTTAGTGCCGATGTTCCTGACTGTTGACAGAACAGACTTTCAATCTCCATGATAATCCAGTATATCCCTAACATTGTCACAGCTATTTGGACCTGATATAACTGTATAGTATACGGCTAAGATTCCCCGTTGTCTTTGTCTTGCTCCTGAGCACAAGGGCCAGTAACCTGCTTCCATGTTATCAATAGGAGGGCAGTTCGTCACATTGAAGAACCCAGCTTGACGCTCCAGACTCATATCTAGACGATTAAGCCGAAGAAACCCCATAGTTTATCCAGATATACTCCATGCATGTTGAACTGTACCTATCGCACGTCGCCGCCACGTGACATTATATTCGCCATTGGCGTCCTCCGAGTATCGCTTTGTAATGGGGGGTAACAACAGGTCGTATCTCAGCTTGGAGCTCGCGGGTCGGACATTTTAAATATATGAAGTGCCCCGACTCGAATGCTTAGATAGCGAATTATATTTGGTCGGTTTTATTTACTATATGAACCTAGCTATTCCTCTGGCCAGTCCTGCTCCCCACAGAGTCGAGTCGCAATATTCTACCTTTCCTCTACGTTTGTCCTGCCCTAAAGCCTTTCTAATAATGGCCACTTCAACACTTGCAACGGTGGGCGTTTTGTCAATCGGTGAGATGGGCCTGGGGGTTGCCAAGTTGTTAATAGCCCACAACTACCGTGTTGTTCCCGGCATCACAGGGCGAAGGTATGACCCATAATGAGATTTCAATACAAGAAGCATGCATCATTGACTGATATTATTTCTAGCAAATACACCCAGGAGAGGGCAAAATAGAGACCTTGGCAACCGATGAAGACGTTGTCCGAGAGGCCGACTACATATTGTCCATAATACCTCCCACGAGATGCTCTGGCAACGGCTCGGCGGGTTGCCGATGTTCTACAGTTCCATAAAGGCATACGTTCAACGCCATTGTACTACCTAGGCCTCAATGCGGTGTCTCCCCGGAGCGCAAGAACCATCTTAAATCTGTTCCGAGATCCTGAGGTCGCTATCCCTGTTGACGATGGCATTTTTGGTGGACCTCCGTCCCTCAAAGACGCACCCACTGATGGCTCCGGAAATCCAAGTTAGTATAAACCAAAGATCCCGACGTCCGGGCCTTATAAGGTAGCCGAATCGCCAAAGTCAGGCCAGCACCTTGCCGAAACCTTGAATATTAGACACATCTCCGATGAAATTGGCCAGGCCTCGGGCCTGAAGATGTGCTTTGCAAGCACAATGAAAGGATTCTCTGGGATACTCACTCAATCCTTTACTACCGCTCAGCAACTTAGCATGCTTGACGAGCTCAAGACATTGTTAGGAGAGATATCTCCTGCAACTCTCCATGCTGCCGAAAACTCTGTTCCTAGAGTGCCTCCAAAGGCGTATTGTTTGGTTGCAGAAATGGAAGAGATTACGAGGAAGCTGGCTTCGAAAAGGACTTGTTCTTGGGTGTAGCCAGGGTTTACAAGACAATGTCGAACGACACTGTGCTAGGCCAAGAAAAGACAGGTTATAGAAAGAGAGGAAGGACTGTGGAGGATGTTGCGTCAGCAATGAATGAAGGGCTACAGGCAAAGAAGAAGAAGAGTGAGTAGAAGAGTAACTCAATATGCTGGACTAGAGAAGAATACCATGTTTTATTTTCTTATATAAAGTTGTGACTTTCCGATTCGCCTATGAAACACCTGTCCACCGTTTGATTTCTATCATAATATCATCATTACCAACGGCCTCTTCACCAGGCACCATCGCCCCACAAGCCAATCAAGCTCACCACAAATCCTGCACCGGAAAGGTAGAACCTAAGAGCCTGTAGCGACTTGAAGCCCAGCATTTCAGCCCTCACATCCTCGCCATTCACATCTTCCTCGCTGCCTCCATCGCTGATTCCTGCGTCGCTGTTGCTGTCGCCAAGTAATTCATAGCTGGCATCCAGCTTGACCTTTCCCTTGTCCTTCATGACTCGTTCCTTAAGCGCCGGAGACGAGGGTGCGCGAGCGGGCTGGAGAAATAGGTCGACGGAGCCGCTTGCTGCAACAATGAGTGTGCTCCAGAGGAGATATGGGTGGCGGAAGCCGCGAGGGGACAGGGCGTATGCAGAGAGAAAGCAAACAGTTGATAGCCCAGTGAAAACGCGGAGGGTTTGGACGGCGCGAGTATTAAGGAGGGCGAAGGCGGTCGATGCGGTCGCGGAGGATGGTAGTGTCAGGAGCGCCGGTACAGCTATAGCATTCAAGGTATATGAGACCCCCTATATATCAAATCTATCAACAATGGCCAATACTTTCACGGAAGCTTCTTGATAAAGAGAAGGCGATGGTGGGATAGACGCGGGGAGGAAGTCACCCACGGTCAGCAGGCCCAAGGAAATGGACCCTATGAGCTTGAACGGCGGTACACCAGGACGAGTGTACATTTTGGAGATTGTGGACAAAAGCCAGCCGTGATTTCCGAAGTTGATATGCATGGAAAGCTTGAGTTCCAAATGGCGGCTCAGTACTCCGTATTGGTGTGGTTGTGGAGACTGTCTCGACCTTTGACGTCGCTGACTCCCCAGGGTTGCATGATTGGCTCATTCCTTGACGCCTTGATTACAAGGCAACACCGAGGTATATGACGATGTCTTTGATTACTTTTGGTGTCTGGCCCAGCTCCGAACCCCACACACACTTATGATCTACGCGGAGTAGAATATAAAGTTTGGGCTGCTCCATGTATATTTAATTCCTCGTGGCGACTTTCCATAATTTGAATCTTTTCCCCATATTCAACCGTTGTAGTCGCATCTCCCATAATCAACCCAGCGTCATAATGCCTTTACCGAAGAGCGAGTATGTCTCGAACGTCTGGAGAGATGGCATTTTCGGTAAGGCAGAATCCGGGGGTTTCTAGATAATAGCTGACCCATAACAGCCGGAAAGGTTGTCTTCTGCACCGGCGGCGCAGGCACGATCTGCTCTGCTCAAGTGAGAGCCCTCGTCCACCTCGGAGCCAACGCCGCCATCATCGGTCGCAATGTCGAGAAGACCGCGGCAATGGCAAAGGACATCGAGACGGCGCGTAAGGGATCGAAGGTCATCGGCCTTGGAGGAGTGGATGTTCGCAGCTTTGAGAGCCTGACAAAGGCGGCCGAGCAGACCGTCAAGGAGCTCGGCGGTATTGATTATGTCATGTAAGAATAGTCTCACCCGCGACAACTCCACTTGACGACGCTGACGTTTTATCATACAGTGCCGGCGCAGCAGGCAATTTCCTGGCCCCCATCACTGGCCTTTCCACCAATGCTTTCAGGACAGTCATGGAAATCGACGTCGTCGGCTCCTTCAACACTTTAAAGGCCACCCTCCCATACCTCCTCGAGTCCGCCGCAGAGAATAAGAACGATGGCAAGAACCCCAACACTGGTGGTCGCATAATATTCGTCTCGGCGACTCTACATTACTCCGGAACACCATTCCAAACCCACGTCGCAGCTGCCAAGGCGGCGATCGATGCTCTTTCGGCGAATGCCGCCATTGAATTCGGACCAAGAGGTATCACCAGTAACATCATCGCCCCAGGGCCTATCGGTGGTACTGAGGGAATGGAAAGGCTGGTTGGCACAGAAGGCATGGAGGCTTCCAAAGCTAGTGTCCCTCTGGGACGCTATGGCCTGGTGAAGGAAGTTGCCGATGCCACCGTGTATTTGTTTAGTGATGCTGGAAACTTTGTCAATGGCGACCTGCTGGTTGTTGATGGAGGGAGCTGGAGGACGTCCATGAACGGGCTCGGCGGCGACATGTCCTACCCTCGCAATGTGTTGACAGGTGAGGTTCCCAAGGGAGTGAAATCAGGCAGAAAGACGAAATTATAGAAGACATCTGGTGTATAATATTTGGGCATTTGTAGTATAATCTTCGTGCAAGATGGTGATACTGTAGATTCCGGAAAGAAGCAAGTATATAGATTTATAGCCAAAAGCTTCAAGGAGTGTGTCTGAACTATATACAATAATCAAGTATGTTCTTATAGCTTTGCGCTGACCCACAATCCCACCTTCTCCAGCCCAGCGTGACCATCATAAATATCCCGTTCCACGGCTCTTGAGTTGATATACTTCGGTCCAAGGTCGCTCACCTTGTCCACACCGAGCAGTTTCATGCAAGTCTCAATCTCTCCCTTCAGAATCTCAAATGTTCGCTCCACACCCTCCTTACCCCCAGCACCAAGTCCAAACAGCGCCGCTCGCCCAACACCAACGGCTTTCGCGCCAAGGCACAACGCTTTTACCACGTCTGTCCCGCGCTTGATGCCGCCATCCACCCAGACTTCGATGCGGCTGAGCACCTCAGGGCAGTATTTGCGTATCTCAAGGAGCGTATGCACGGCTGGAGGTGCTGTATCTAGAGCTCGTCCTCCGTGGTTTGACAAGATAATAGCCTTCAGCTGTGGTGCAAACTGCATCGCCAGGTATGCATCTTCGTGAGTCTGAACACCCTTCAGCACGATGGGAAGATCGGTGTGCTCCTTAAGCCAACCAAGAGTAGTTTTCCAGGTCAGGTCCATGGCGGTGCCAAAAAACAGGGTCTTTCCAACGCCTCCTTTCGATTCCCGCTTCTCGCCTGTGCCATCGGATATCGCATCGAGACCCTTACCAAGCGAGCCGACTCTCTCGTCGTGCTCGCGCTTCCCAGGAACTGGGGTATCGAGGGTCAGAACAATGAATTTGATATTCGGCAACGCATTGATGCGCTTTAGCATAGCGATGCTCTTTTTCCGGTCGTTCTGTATGTATATTTGCCATCCAAAAATCTGTCCTGGTGCACTGTTGGCGACAATCTCTTCTGGCTTTTGGGAGGCATTATTGGAGATAATTTGTAGCGCTCCAAAGGAAGATATTCCTTGCGCAATGCCGTATTCACCATCTGGGTGGGCCAGTCTAGCCATTGCCGCCGGGGCGACAAAAAGGGGCAAGCCAACCTTGTGGCCCAGGATTGTGGTAGATATGTCGCAGTTTGTGCAATCGACAAAGACTCGCGGTCTGAGTAGGATTTGTCTGTATACTTGATTATTGAAAGATTTGGAGAAAAGGTCATCAGAAGCGGAGTAGTAGTATGCCCATGCCTTCTGTGAAATCTTTTTCGTTGCAACCTCTTCGAACTCGTCGAGGTTGAGTAGAGTTTGGACGTCTATAGGCCCTTCTTGGTCCCTCTTCGCACTTGCCTCTTCCACTGCTGGTGCAACGAGTGTTGCAAGGTCGACTCGGCCCAGTTTGCACGACGGGTCGAGGTTTTCGGCCAAGGTACCGGAAGGGTGGATTGGATCGAACTTCTCAGTCGCATCTCGGCCTGCAAGCTTCAGAACGACTTTTGATCCGCCAGGATGTTCCGGAATAAATCCCGTCACATCATAGACGTCGCCATATAGAATTACCCAGCAGCTTTCTGAGGTGTTATGCTTCGCAACTGGGGTAAGAAATATATTAGTCTCGACTCCTATCACACAACGTTCTGAGATAGGACTGACCTTCTGCGGCGTCGAACACCTTTGCCATCTTCTTTTTGGGTAAGTAAGAGAAAGATTAGGAGAGAAATGAGCCTATACGTATATATATTTTGAGCTTGAAATATATCTTGCAATAGAAGCAATGGCAGAAACCCCAGCTGTCGAGATGCGGGCCAGAGCTTAGCCGCATTACCATTCGCCGAACTCGCACTGGACGACTGCCAGGTCAACAGAGACCGATAATGATAACCGTCGTGTGGGGAAGTGGGCCTGCATCTCATTTACCCCACGTGATCTATATATATTACCTGTTTCTGTTGGAACTGCGTTCCTGGTAGTACGCTGCACATGCGTAGCCTGTATATCAACTGTGTATATATAGGGCTTCGCCCCCCGTAGTTTCTCAATCAAGTCGTCAAACTCCAATTATGTGTTCAACAGTTTCCAACCACCATGAACAGATCTTGCGACGCGTTTGATCAATCCGTCTCATATCACTTTCTAGAGCTGAGGCATTGATTCGTCTCTCTGAGCTAGCACAAATATACCTGACAAGTGCAGGGGGTGAGTACCTTTTCATCACTAGTTATCACACTCCTCCAATCTCTTATTGCGGCGGTTTCCTGTCACGTCCAGCCACACGGACTGTCATGCAGTTGGTTTATTGCTGTGGATTTCATCACCACGCCATTTCATTCATCCAGTTGCCGGGCCCAATGCGCCAACCAGTTGCCTCTGCGCACCGGTTGCTGTTTCCGCTACTTGCTATGGTAGTTCCTATAGTTTTCAACTGCCGTGTCCGTTTCTCATGCATCATAACTCGTGGTGTCGCCGATCAAACTTACCCCAAAAACTGCTACTGCGGAGGTGTGGAGAATGAAAGGAAGGGATCCAGTTGGTGCCTTCTGTATCAATGCGCGTTTTAAAGAGCGTATCTCATTGCATTCTGGGGCCAGTTACTCGGAGCTGTGTTTCCGGCCAATGCCACCGAGTTAGGCTAGGACACAGACGGTTGTTATCAGGAACATTGAACCGTTAGTGGTCTCAGCAATGACCCCATTCAAGAGATCCCGCAACACCTATGACCACGCCTAGTGGAGGTGGCACCCGGAAGGATCGTGCAGTCTGAAGTCTGGGACAGCACCGACCTCACGGCGCGTGAAGCGGCAGGATGTCAGCTGCTCTCGTAAGAGGCACGGATCAGTATATCACCTGGCATGTACTTGTTGGGCGAGCTTATCCCGGCTTATTACCCTTCTATTTGTGGCCCAACAGTCGTGGCGCCATGAGATAGGTGGTGCCAACTGGTATGGCCCCTGCCGGGCTTTATCCGTAAATACGTCACCATATGAGCTCTTCCTGGCGGGATGCATTCGAAGCAACCAGCAAGGTAGCATATTCTGCAGCCCGTAGCTCAGCTGGAATCATCTATTCGCAGTGAGTGCTTCAAGATTAGTTGCGTGGCAACATGGCAGAGAACAAGAAGTGCTCCAAAGCCAGCACTGAGCTAATGCTGGGCCCAGCGGGCCCCAAATATCCCTTTCCAGCGACCTTCAGTATGATCGATTCCCGCTTGCAGCAAGGTGCAGTGACCGGGACGGACTCCCACGTCGTGAGGGTTGCTTAGCTGCAACTGGTATTTGCAACTGGCTAGTACGCCGGTGGCTCCGACTATATTGCTCATCCTATAGGTCACAAACGCCGATGCCATGTGTTGGATGCGTTGCATTGACCGACTGTAGGTACGCGCACAGCATGGTATCATACAACGGCGAGCTTCCGGGCGGGACCACGCACAAGGCCCGCCGGCTGGGGCTATAAACGCCAGGAAAGCAGAGTGCTCCTTCGTCGTCAATGGCGGGGTTCCAATGCAAAACTTGTTTTTTGGTCACAGTACGGTCGTTGAGCTACTGCAGCATTCTTAACAGTCAATGGATATTCGTATGTCTGTTCGAGCCTAAGGGCTAATGCCTCAGCTGGCTAAGTTGAAAGCGGCGTATATCCGCACAAGCTCCCTGGCGCCGGTGCTTCCCGTATGCACCTGAGCAAAGTGAAAAATCAAGTCCTCTATGCCATGAAAAATATGTATGTCCCTAGCTATAATGGTATATTCACTCCTTCCGGCTCCGCATCGTACTACGCCCGGAACATGTATAAAAGATCACCCCAGTCATTCTGTTCCCGTCCGCTTACTCTAAAAATAAAATAAAACCTAGAACGGGCCGCGGGGCGGGCTGTTGTATTGAGGGTGGATATACCCCACTTGGGTACAGTATATGTATACTGATATACTTGGCGTGGCATCATCGCCCGCAGATCGTCGAAAAGGACCAAGCGCAACGAAAACCATGAAACTCCCTCCCGAAAGCAACCGTTCTGTAAAATATTATGATACCACGACTCAGCTGAGATGCATCAGATTCTCAATTTGCCCATGTTGTGTTTCTCGTTATCATGCCATTAGCCCGCCTCTCTCTGTAGTGAAAAATGTATATATAGCTTCGTTTTGATATCATGGAAGCGGGGCCGAGTCATGAGCAGAGCGGGCAGTGGCCCGGAACGACAATGTATCGTTCGTGGGGCCCGAGAGGGCAGGCTTGCGTCTTCTTGCCATCGACCGAGGTGCCGAAGAAGTGTGCGCCTGGGTCCTGACAGGACGTATAGATATAGTAGTTTTTTGTGTATTCGCACATCGTGTGAGAGTTGCGAATTGTATTTGAGCCGGCAGCGGAAGAATAGAGTCGAGGGGAGGTGGAGATTGTGATATAGATGCAGCTTCGCAGTTATCGATGGAGACGGCGACGGGTTGTGACAAGCATTCCTTTATATCAAGAGCAAAGACCCTCCAGTGAACCGCAGCGAAATAGTCCGCAGCACATAAGCATCTATAGGAGCAGTCTTTATATAGCAAGCCACAGCCCAGTCGGTTATGAGATCACCTCTGTTCGCCCAGGGAGGGGCGTGCGTATCTCTCGGCCTCGTGGCAAGGTGGGATGCTTAACGCGGTGGGGGCAGCTATAGGCACTGTGGGCAGATGTGCATGCTCGACCTTGACAGGGCAGGATGTATTGTCAGGGGACCTGGGGTGCTCATGGATGACGACGATGGGCAGCAGGTATTATGGCGGGATGAGAAGAAGATGATCTCTCTCTCCGTCTCTGCTGCGAGGTGTGCGGGCCGAGATGAGATGCTCGTTTTTATTTTTCCCAATCACCAGGCTCGGGGCGAGGGAGCAGATGCAAGATGAGGTGTGCAGAAAGGGCCCTGTGTGCAGCTGCTTTTGGCGATGCTGGAGGTGGGTGGCGGATACAGTTACTGCACATCAGCGGGATAGGATAGGGATCCCCACCAGCGTAGTACAACACGAGGGAGGAGGAACCCTGGAACTTATGCGAAGAAATCATTTTGTATTATACGCAGGGGGTTAAGGGAAGAAGCGGTGTCGTCGTCAGTGTGCGTGCGAGGATTGTGTGGTGGGGTTGATGGACCAGGCGGACGTTGGAGGTGGGCTGTGGAGGAGAGCACGTTTTTTTGGTGGTCGGTGAACGTCAAAGCACCTATCTGTGCGATGTGGTTGGTGGGGGGCAAAGGTGGGAGAACAGGGTTAGCAAAGTTACTCGACGTGTTCTTGAATATTTAAGAAAATCACATGACTATTATATGATATTCTTAAATATCTACAGTGACTTCTTATTTAAGTTATAATCTCAGTCGCGCGCGAGGTATGCCGCCGCGCGGGGTTTGACGCCCGCCCGATCGGGGAACGCGCGCGCACGGGCCTGCTGCCGCTTTCGAGTTCTATAAAAGGGCACCTCTCCCCCCATCGCTCGACATCCCTCTCCTCTGTCCAGTTCCAACACACCTCTTTCGCCTTGAAATCCGCTCCACCTGGGCCCCGCTTCAGAGACAGCGAACCCCCGCCCCCAAGCCGGCCTTGCGGCAGCTGAAGGCATTCTCTCTGGTGCCACGGAGACCCCTCCAGCTTAGTCTCGCTCATGCTTGACCTCTCGCAACTCGCGACATACACTTCACGACAATCCTCGCCCGTGAACTTCGATATGGGAGGGCTCGAGGGCTCGCTCTGCCTTGAGTGCCTTGCGATATTGCCTAGCCAATTGGAAAAATGCCTCACGGCGATGTGGCCCGGGTCCTCCAGCCCTTGAGTCAAGGCACTTGAGCTAAATGAAGGCATGGGCTTGATCTGCCAGAGAAGGGCCGAGATCTGCGTAACAATCACGGATTGGATTGCTGGTGCCTTGGCTGAGCATCCTGCAGACCGAGAATGAGCTGCGCCTCATCGAAATTTGTCACACGACCACGGCCATTCACGCATGGGGGAATTCTGGACAGATGGATAGGCAGATGCGGGCAATTGTGTGTGGGCCATCTGGCCTCGGGTACTGCTACAACCGGCCATTGCATGGATTGGGGGCTGTTGGTCACCTTCATGGCACGCATGTGACAGCATAGGAGTTTTTTTTTGGCCGCGAAGAGGCCGCCCGGCGCAGCGCTAAAGGTTCAGCTGGGAAGGGGGCTCCACTGCTAATATCAACTCAATGTTGCAACAGACCAATCATCAAAAGGCCTCATAGCGACTGCGTCGTGCCTGCCTCTCTTGGTCTCACGGTGGGAGGCCATCTGCTGTCACCAGACCGGGCTGAAGGATACGAGAAGTTTCAGAGCCTGGACAGGCTCGTCGATTTTCCTTGAGACACTAGGCTCCCGTGGCATTGACAGCGGAATTTTAAGGAAGGGGAAGTAGGGCGGAGCTGCCCTCAGAATCTCTACATAAGCTCCACCGTTCCGTTCCAAAATTTCTCCTTCTCAGAACAAAATTATCCATTGTCTCAGTCAGGTCAGAGCAATTTGGAGAAGGCCATCGAATCTGAAAAGGGAATGTCGAGTCCAGCTCTGCGAAAGATGAGCGTTGTTGTCTATCCTTGGAGAAACAATCGGCACTGGCGTATTCCGAGTCTCGAGGAGTGGACGGGCCAAATAGGCTGCTCAGGGTCGAGGCAGTATCTTACGAGGCCAGGCCACTCGCTCGCGTCTTGGTCCTCAATGCTGGCAAGGAGATTTCTCGAGGCAACTCCAGTTTCAGCTTCGTTGTCACTTTCATCGTCACTATCATATTCGATAATTAGGGGCTCTCCTGCGTGGAATTAGTAAGGTGTATGCGCATACAAAAGCGAGCTAAGAAACCTACTTTGAGTATTGCCTGGCACATAGGCCAAGTTCGAGGTTGTGGGATTGGTTGGCAGGCGGTCCTCGTCTAACAGCTCGTGCTTCTGCGGTGGAGGGAATCATGGTTTTGAGACAGTATTTGGGGGATGTACTTGTTTTGGTAGGGCCGGAACAACTCATCGAATAATGGAAGAGAGTCATCTGACGAGTCGTTATTTCGATCATCCCGCAATGCTGAAGGTTGCTGTCGGTGGTTGTTCAACTCTGAAGCTGCCAGCTTTTTGAGCGGCAGCTTTGGTGCGGCATTGGGGGTGTAGAAATTGAAATTGCTCATGTTCACAGTAGCCATATTGAAGCAGAATCAGAGGATAATGAGTGGGCACAATCAAATTCACCAGGGTGTCAAGAAGGCCATAGTCAACTAAATGAGGCCTTCTCATTATAACCCACTGCACGAGATGGCTGGTGGATCGTGCAACCATGGCAGCATCTGCGATATTGAGGATGAACCACAACAATCTTAAGAAGAAGCAGAAGGATCGCTGCCTTCAAGCGCAGCTCACTCCCAATGCAATCTGACGAACCAGGATAGTCAAAACAACACGGAAACATGGCGCAGCCTGAGTGAAGAACGACCGTGAGAAAAGACAATAAAACAGCAGCAGTGCCAGCAAATAGAGCAAGAAAATGAAGACGAGGACAACATAGAGGCGATCAGCGGCGAGAATAAGGGCCCAATTAGCTACTGCCAGCAAATAAAGGATAGCCTTCAGAACCAACGCGTGGAAGACGGGACCATGCTGACGCTGTGTTCGCAGTCTCACAAGACTGCAAACACAGTGTCAGACCATATAGAACAGACCCGATGTTCTACAGTTTCTCAGAGTTCACCAGCCGATGCGGAGTCAATTCTAGGCGCAGACTACCAAGAATATCCTTTTCAGGGCGTTTTCAAGCGTGTGAGGATCGGACAAGAGATGACCTACAATCTATAGTTCAGCCTGCTAGATCTTCTAGATTCTTTCAGACCATCAATCAATCTCCAGATATCAAATTCTAACCCTAGCAGGGAATCAGTTGGGGAATCAGCTCATCCACGGCTTTGCGCATCTCATGCAAAGAGGTCACGGCCAGCTCTGCATAAGCAGAGAAGCGTATATATTACACACATCTCGAAAGAAGATTTCTTCCCTGCCTTTCATATAGCATTTCGTATGACAATGATTAAATCAAACATTCGAGTAGGATTTCGTGCTATAGGGCTTGTTCCGTACGATCTGAACTATGTGATTTCAAAGCTTGACATTCGACTTCGTACGCCAACACCTATGCAACTCTACCTGTGATCTAGGAACTGTTACGATTACAGCTCACAGCTTGTCACAGCTTGTTACAGTTGTTACAGTTGTTACGGTTGTTACGGTTGTTACGGTTGTTACGGTTGTTACGGTTGTTATGGGGATTATGGGTGTAGCCTTAGCCACCAAGGTTACAACTGCTAAGCAGACAACTGTATGTTATGAGGAATAGCCTCAGCTTCCTTCCTTCCTTCTTCTTCTTCTTCTCTCTTTAGATTCAATCTAGATTACTTTTCCTGGACTGGCATCATGACCTCTATGACTATCGTAACAGGAACCTAAAACTCCATGCAATATACTTAAGACACAATCTCAATCAACATACCTTAAGGACCGGATTGTACGACATCAGAATAGTTCGCTAACTTCACTTTTACAAAGCATTGATTAGGTTGCAATAGGTGCAGTAAGTGCAATATACGAATTGTCGTTATTATACAATAAAGCCACTTCTCGGGGTCAGAGCTGCTAGATTTGGCAGGGTGCGGTTGCTGCTTTACGCACCCTTTACCTCCACACTAAACCCAAGTGCACGTGATCGCACATCGAATCACAGCCCCCATGTTGGTTACCCTTCAAACGGTTCCTGGTTCCTGGTCCCTGTGGTCTGCTTTCTGCTTTCCGTTTCTCTCTTTTCAGGTACCACCCACTGCCCATCATGATCATGAGGGCCACAACACGATGGACCACCCGGTGGCTCGGACTGGCCACTTGTTTAAATACCTTGATATCCCGTGGCCTACTCCGAGCACCATCAGGCCCTTATTCGTCTCGTGAAGGCAGTCCCCCATGACTCAGCATTTGGGGCTTTGCGTTCATCTCATCATCCCAGGTCTATCGCTGAGTCGCCCATCATGTCCACCAAAGTAATGGGCAACCGGGAACTGCCTACTCCGAAGCAGAACATGATAAACTTCGTCATCAAACAGACGAGACAAGCTCAACAGCCAAAGAAGCCTAAGCGTACCACTGAGGACTACCGGGTTATGGGACAAGAGCTCAGCACCAAATCTCAGAAACCCAAGGATGCCGAAGCCACGAAAGAGAATGTCCGAGGCATCTGGCGCAAGTGGTCCAGGTAAGTCAACAACTTCCCCCTCAAGGCTCCCATCACTTACTCGAGATAAGGTTCTGCGCTTTTCAGGGTGTGGAAGACGTGCGAGGAGCTATTCAACAATGTGATAAACAGATGACTATGTTGTTCCTATGCTTCATCTGCGAGAATTATAAGGTTAAGGCATTTAACTCTGTCCATCAGTATCTGCTGCAGTTCAAACAACTCTATAATCGGATCAATGGGCGTCATATGGATACAAACGATGCAAAAGAGGTGTTTAAGGTATGCTTTATAGTTAATGTTACTTATGGAAGACATGGCACTGACCCGTTCTTGTAGTATCTAGATACAACCTTGGCCGACGAATTCAAACTCAGACGGACGATGAAGGCCAAACCAGTGTTGGGAGCAGACGATATCCTTCTCCTCCTCACTCACCTCTGGGCTCGGGATACTTCTATATTTCCGACTGAGGACCAACGGTTAACGTACGCAACTATAATGCTCCTGTCTATCTATACAGGCTGTCGACCTGTTGAGCTGGTTGACGCCTCAAAGGGTGCAGGGGGAAAGACTACCTCTCGCAAACATCCACATACAGAAGTCTGGGATGCCGATAATGACTTGGATGAAGATGGGTGTGTAGATGAGGGAGACTGTTACGACGGAACAAGAAGGCTGGCCAACTACAGGACAGGAAGGAGGGAGGTCGCATGAGACCGGCCCTGGTACCTGGAGGGGCAGCGGGGAATAGTAGTTCCGAAAGTATCACGTGACGGACTCGCAGGATGATGAGAAGAGTCCTAAGAGTCCAGGACTCCGAGGACTCGAGTGAGTTCCCAGGAGTCCACTAGGCACGTGATGGACTCGCAGGATGATGAGAAGAGTCCTAAGAGTCCAGGACTCCGAGGACTCGAGTGAGTTCCCAAGAGTCCACTAGGCACGACGCCACTATATAAGTAGATAGTATTTCCTTAGATAGGAGCTTCGTGCTCAACTCAATACAGTATTTGTTATATACTAGTAACGTGTTACTTGAAGCCTTTGTGTCTGATCCCCTGCCTCCTCTGATAAGTAAACCTTTACGCAAGAGAACCTCTGTGTCTTCTATCGTTTAGAAGTCAGCGTTACAGTAGATGAGGGAGACGGATTAGATGAGCCGAATTATCAAGGGCGAGAGCCATGGGAAAATAAAAACGATACTGAGTATGACGATGATTACTTTGACCCAGACACCGTGGAACGGGAATATAAGAGTTTATGCTACAAGGATATACGTCTCTGGATTGTTCGGAACCTGACACCGGGAAAACGAGACCTCCTAGGAATGGAGATCACATTCTCCCATCACAAAGGTGCTGATAGGAAACTGAAACCATATGTCCCTCCACAATGCGCCTCCCTTGTCCCAACTAACTTCACAACTTTAGCACGACTTTCCTCTTTCATGAAGAAGCTCTTCCCATACTATGCCCTATCAGCCATGTCTTGGCTATCGAAATAAAGGATGGTACAATGGAGGTTGAAGGCTCGTCGCATGCAGAGCCTTTATTTACAAGTAATCTGCAGCACCCTACGAAAGCCGTATTGATTCACTGGAAGCCAGAGATGCTTAAAAGGCCTATATTTCGTCAGGCGGTGCGCTCGTGCGATTTGTTCCGTACGTCGGAGTGGAAGGCTCTACGCTACTCGACCTACGCTTACTACCTTGATCGTCTCGGCTGGGCGACTGGTTTTGAGCAGAAGTTGATGAGCTACTGTTTTTGCAGAGGCACAGGAAATGCTGTTAACGGTAAACTTCTCATTGACCATAGCTTGCTTTAACTGACGATTGCATAGGGGCTGCGACGACAGCAGTTCGCGACCAGATACTAAGGCACAATCCCCAGACTGGCGTATTCTCTGGATCATACATCAATGAGAAAGTCAGATTCATCGTTCAAGATGCAGTGCTAGACCAGCCTACTGACTCTGGCTTTCTCTGGGCCTTCACACACATGAGTCTCACTTGTGATCCCCGCGCGACGATGTTCGCGATGACCTCCCGCCCAATCCAGAGCTGGTGCAGCTAAAGCTTGAGCAGCAAGAGCTTCGCTTGGAGCTGAAGCGTTTGTATGGACACGCATTTGTTCAGGGTTCAATTGGCACAGAAGCTGGTGAAGAATATCGTCAATTAAATTGACAGATTGCTACAGTAACCAAGACGTTTGAGTGAGAGCTCAAGAGGGAGTACTGCTGAGACTACTTCTACCGTATCCATAACGAAGAACTTGAGAAGATCATTAAGAAGGTCAAAAGTCGTGACACCGACTTATGTTGAGCCTGTCATCAAGCACCAGCTGCCAGAACGGGCCCAGCTTCAAGAAATCATATGCGACCTTTCTAAGGATCTGAATGCATGTGATATCGTCATATGATGGATTCATGCCATTGACACAATGGTCGCACTATCTCGTCGCCAAGAAGTCCAGTGTCATAAGTCACGGCTGAGCAAATCGTCCTCAGGGTCTCCTCTTGGAGGGTCCCCCGAGGTGAAGGAAGAATCACCTGTTCCTGAAACATTTCCTGTGAAGTGCAAGGAAACTCAGTGTATATTTTGTATTGGTGACAATCGTCAGAGTTATGACAGGCGCATACGCACATTTTCGAAACCTGACAAGATGAAGGACCACGTTGAGAGGCATTTAGAAAAGAGGACACCAGGAAAGTATGAATGCTGCCATCCAGTTTGCAAGACCGAAGGGCTACTTCTTGACAACATTATCCTTTTTAAGAATCATGTGGAGACGGTCCACAGAATTAGACTTAGAGAGGAAAAAGATGTATCTTGAATAACTATTGTGGACCACCAGCCTTATTTCACAGTCCTTTTGCTCACCCAGGCTCATGCAGTTGCTGGGACGTACACTGTAATCGAGTTTAAATCCATAGTACACATATTTAATTCCGTAAGCAGATTAGTACTTCGTGTAATGGTGGGTGCACCAGATGTGAGAATCTAGCCGCCCAAGGAAGGGATGAATTTACTAAGACAACACACTGTCTTAGGAAACAGAGCCAAAGGGTCGTAGCTTAGACTATTCCACAACGCAGCAATCAGGTGTGTGATGTAGTGAAGTGGTTCAGACAAGTTGCAACAAATGTTGAGTCTGGGAACTCAGGGGTAAGTCAGAGGTTAACACCTCACTGACTTTTCAGAAACAAGGAGTAACAAGATGAATGCTTGAAAGCTTGGAAAAGACGTGGAAGTATGTGATAGTCGATTTACTGTATTGTCTGCTTGCCCTTTCTTAAGGAAAGGGCAATCCTATTTATGCTAAAGGAATGTAGTTCTCTCATTTTCCAAGACTTTCCATGACTTACCAGGCTTGGTAACTGTAGTCGACGTAAGAGAATCCCATAGAACCATCTCTTAGGTTCGTAGCCTATAGGAAGTAAAAGGAGGTCCAAGGTCAGAGTACCCCTATAGACAAATTATGTCATAGACAAATTATGTCATAACTTAACCAATCTTGTGGGTAACTAAAGAGCGATGACATGTAATGAATCATAGAGGTTCGTAGGAGCTTTTAGAGCTATCGTTCATGCTCCTAGGCCTCTAGTTGGTAGAGATATGTCATGTGGTAGTATGAGTGATGTCATGTAATGAATCATAGAGGGTTGTAGAGATATGCTATGTGGTAATATCGGCCCAGTAACTAAGGAGCGATGATGTGTAATGAATCATAGATGGTTGTAGCAATCGTTGAGTAGTATTGCTCTTGTTGTTGGTGTGATAAGCCAAAATATGTATAGTGACTTGTAGGTTTGAGGAGGAGATTTCCAAGTTTGCTCTTGAGTTTGATAGCAAACTGGGTGCAACGAATGTCAGTATGACACTTCGGTTTTGTAGATCATCTCCTCAGCCTGATGACTGAGCAGGGAATTTTCGTGATATACAGTCAATGCTATAATGAATTACTTAAAAGTATTAGTAGAAAGATAATTGTACATACAAAGTCCTTAGATGTAGTAGTAGAAGGACGTAAACAAAAGCGTCTTGAAGAACAGGAAAGGAGTGAGTGGGAGAATCAACGCCATATAAGAAGGCATAGACATGGAGGTAAACTGTAAGGATGCCTCCGTACCTAGATACTCAAAGAACCTGTCTCAGAACTGTTACGGTCACTACAAGCATGAAATCCGATTTGGTGTGGTTTCGAAGCAGTAGAGGAGCACATAGTGAGTTACACTATAGTGGGGGATGGTAAGGGTGTAGGGTTCAGGGTCGATGCTGACCTGTTGCGGTGGATGGATCAGGGCTAGGGTTGCGATAACCGAGTCGGGCCCATTTCGGGTGTCATACTGACATTCGTTGCACTCAGTTTGCTATCAAACTCAAGAGCAAACTTGGAAATCTCCTCCTCAAACCTACAAGTCACCATACATATCTTGGCTTATCACACCAACAACAGAAGCAATACTACTGAACGATTGCTGCAAACTCTTCTACTACATCTGTTTATGCTACATACATCACAGCATATCATTTGGACACTCATTGAACAAGTTATTAAGAAAATCTCCTCCTTAAGGGGGTGGGCCAATACTACCACATGGCATATCTCTACCAACTAGAGGCCTAGGAACATGAACGATAGCTCTAGAAGCTTCTACAACCCTCTATGATTCATTACACGTCATCGCTCCTTAGTTACCCACAAGATTGGTTAAGTTATGACATAATTTATCTATAGGTACTCTGACCTTGGACCTCCTTTTCACTTCCTATAGGCTAGGAACCCAAGAGATGGTTCTATGGGATTCTCTTACGTTCACTACATGATTAGCAAGCTAGTTGTGGGTCGCACTTGATTTCTAATACATTTACCAAGCCTGGTTAGAGTCATGGAAAGTCATGGAAAATGAGAGAACTACACTCCTTTGGCATAAATAGGATTGCCCTTTCCTTAAGAAAGGGCAAGCAGGCAATACAGTAAATTGACTATCACATACTTCCACGTCTTTTACAAGCTTCCAAGCATTCATCTTGTTACTCCTTGTTTCTGAAAAGTCAGTGAGGTGTTAACCTCTGACTTACCCCTGAGTTCCCAGACTCAACATTTGTTGCAACTTGTCTGAACCACTCCACTATATCATACACCTGATTGCTGCGTTGTGGAATAGTCTAAGCTACGACCCTTTGGCTCTTTTTCCTAAGACAGTGTGTTGTCTTGGTAAAATCATCCCTTCCTTGGGTGGCTAGATTCTCACATCTGGTGCACCCACCATTACAAGAATGCTTTTGATTATCTGAAAGATTGAGTTGATGAATATATACCTTTAAATGGAGGTAAGCTTGAGAAAGCTCATGCAAGGGTATTTCTTGAGGAAGAATGGGGGAGGAAAACTGCTCAACTATGTGCGTCGTTCAGGGATAAGTTAGAGCGGTGTATTGCAGTAAATGGAGGTAACAATTTTCGTGGGTAGATTATGTACATTTCTATGTATTTATTTTTCGAAAGTACTTACAATGACCCACCTCCCGTGCACAGACCCTGTACAGACTTTTGGGCCGCACGAGTAGTGCAACTATGACAATAATTCAGTCCGTAATACCGACCAGTCCGTATTATTAGTGGATCCAGTCCGTAGGGACTACCCTCAGTCCGTATTACTAGTAGTTAGGTCAGTCCGTAGGGACCGGAACACTGCTCACCTAGCTCACCCTCGCTCACCCCTCGCCTCACCCTTCAGGCAGCAAGGGGCCTCGATTCCGCGCTATGCCTGGTGGCACGATTGAGACTATTATCCAGAGGGTACGCAAGCTTGTGTATGGCAGAGCGGACGGGATGCCCAATTCTCTCGAGTCTATGGTCGGATGTGATGTGATGTAGACTCCTGAGCCCTATATATCGATAATGGGGGTGGTTACCCCTTGCCCCTTTTAAAATTCGAAGCGAGCATATTCACAACACACACACAATTATCATCGTGAACAGTAGTACTGATCAGAAAAACTGACAGTGGAGACCAGCTCGCTCCAGCCTCGCTCGAGACTGGCGCCGTTTCCGGTCCTAGCCATCATATACATTCATATCGAATCATCTAACCAGCGAGATCTGTCCCCGCGGCGATATAAACGGCAATAAGTCCCCATAGACCCGCCAAAACGCCCAACAATGTCCTAACGAGCGTGCCCGAGGACCCCTCTAGATTTCTAACATCGTCCCATCCAATCCCATACCCGTCATTCCCTCACATCCCCAACAAGCTCATCTGCCTCCTCAACGGGCTCGCCGTGCTGCTATCCCCCTCACTACCATAGAACCCCGAATCGGTATCGATATCCCATCCCTGCTCCTCCTCACCCTCCTTCCCCTCCTCGCCGCTCCACCCCTTCTGCATCGCGCCGCGGGTGTTCCACCGCAGCGTGCGAGACACGCTGTCGAACCACTCGGCGCCTGTGCGCGTCACGGTCGGGAAGGGGTACTGCGAGGCGGCGATGGTGACGTGATCGCCCTGCGTGAGCTCGACGCGGCCCTTGCCGTCGAAGGAGCAGTAGGCTGTTGCGCGCGAGTTCTTGGGGATGGAGACGCGGAGGAGGAGGCTGTCGGAGAGGACCATGGGGCGGAAGGAGAGCGTATGTGGGCAGATGGGGGTGAGAAGGATGGCGGGGATGTCGGGGTGGACTAGAGAGCCGCCAGCGGAGAGGGAGTAGGCCGTTGATCCTGGATGTATGTTAGCTTTGGGGGTCTTTGCAGGGGGTGAGGAGTGGGACTAACCAGTAGGAGTAGAGAAGATGCAGCCGTCAGCTTGGACAACAGTGAGGAGCTCGTTGTCGCCATACAGCTCGAGGTTCGATACATATGGCGATGGTCCGCGGTCGATGACCAGTTCGTTGAGGACCTCGAACTGCTCGCCCTCCTCCATATCCTGACCATTCGCGCCGTCGCGGTACACCGTGCACGTGAAGCGCATGCGCAGGTTAACGCGCATGCCCTCGTCACCCATCACCCTGTTGAGGTGAGACTTGTACCGGTCGAACTCAAAGTTGGTCAGGAAGCCGAGGCTACCGAGGCTGAAGGACAAAATAGGGGGAACAATGCGCTGAAAGAGCCATGAGGTGAATAGCACGGTGCCATCGCCGCCAAGCGTCAGTACTAAGTCGAACTTCTCCGGTTGGCTCCAGCAGAGATCTGGTGACCAGTATTTAAGCATGTGCTGGAAACGCGACTCTCCTACGATCAGTCCCGCGCCGTTGAAGCGCTTAGAGTCGCGCAGTTTCGCGTCGACGTACACGTTCACGCCGAGATCTGATCCGTAGCGTGGTGTGCTGAGGAGCCACTCCGCCAGGTTCCTGGTCAGGGTGACGAGCTGGTTATCCCTTGCTTTCGTCACAATCATGACGTTGCGGACAGCACGTTTGATTGGGCGTCGTTGTAGCTGTTTTGAGACCTCGCGCACACCCGTGGCTGTCTGCATCAGGCGCGAGTGTGTCATGTACTCGTCACCGCTGATCTCCTCGAGAACCCTGTCGATGTTCACGGCATCGTCGAAGCGCTGGTGGTAGAAGCACGGTGACTGCAATGCGGGAAACCGGGCGGTTGCCGGTGTACTACCACACTTCGCAGCGTTTGAAGCGAGCTCGGATAGTGCTGCCGAGAGCTTCTGTGACGAGGATGTGCCAGGCCTGCTGTCCCTCGCGTTCTGTGCTGCGAGTATGCCCGATAGGGAAGATACCATCGGGGCATCTGGGTTTGTGCTTCGAGCAGAGGAGGCTAGTGCCTTCATGATTGTCTGTTTGGGTATGGAGTCCACGGATAGTGCGGTATTGCGGTGGTTCTTGAACGACTTTGGGGCTTGGAGAAACGGTGCCAAATTCCCGTCGGTGGCAGTCGGCTCGACCGGTGGAGCTTTTTCTTCTAAGGCAGTTGCAGGAGGCGTAAGTTCTTCATTGTGGTTTTGTGGAGGATTCTTTGTTGTGTTCAAGGGCAGCAGCGGTTTCGAGGGCCCGTGGAACACGGATTCACCAGCGAAGGCGGAATCACTAAATGGCGCAGAGCCCTTCACCGCTTGGGGTTCTGGCAAGGATGTGGCTAAATTTTCAGCTGGGGTATATTCATTTCTGTGAGGTGGAATGTTGTCCGATTGCGTGAGAGTTGGATGAAGGGAGGAAGGTGTGAGATTTGATTCGGACATCGCGACGGGGGGTATCGCTAGTAGGAGGCGGATTGGGGGTCGAGCGCTCAGTGTTGACGGGCGTGGGATCTGTTCGGAGTTAATATAGGGTTACACAGCTGCGGGCTCAGATGACAAGATCGGCGGGGAGATTGTGGAGGCAGGCGTATGTCCGTCCGGAGTTGGAGGATTCGAAAAGGTGAGGTTGGGGAAAGTCAAATAATAATTATTGGCGAATAAGAGTATGTCGAGAAGGGAATAAATATCAATATATATATAAAACTGAATGTGAGAACTATACGTATACGGAGAAATTCGCGGGATTATTGACTCGAGATGGCGGGGGATAAGTTCCAACGGAGCGGGATTGCGGGGCGGGAACGGGATTTGCTAGATCTAATCTTTGGAGAGAGATGCCATCGTTAGCCATGCGCCCACTGACCATTATCACACACCAAGTCACATCTGCTAAAGCTTCAAGCACCCGATAGTGAGAGGTCGCCATGATTGATGGTCTTGGCTGCTCGATGGCGGTAGAGATGTGTCGAATAGTATGACTTACAGATGCGCTTCCACCAAATCGATAGTTTGACGGCGTCTTGATGCTGCAGGATCGCACGTAATTGTACCGCGAGGACCGATGTGGACTGTGGACTGTGGACTGTGGACTGTGGACTGTGGACTGTGGACTGTGGACTGTGGACTGTGGACTGTGGACTGTTGTGGAAATGAAATGGGCTGTATCGGGACAGGAACAAAAGCCACAGGTGATTGCTGCCGGGGCTCGTGCAGAAGGCCTGCTTGACGCTTATGCGCGATTTCGTAGAGATGCGTGATTGTCGTCTGTGGAGACGGCGAATTAGAGACGGCAGGTCCTCGATGATGCGTATGTCGGCCGGCGGCTCGAGGTTGGAACAAGAGGCTTCTTTCAGGTCTTGTCTATCGTAATGGAGACTTCTATTATAGGGTATAGGATGGAACAATGAAATCTATTGAAAGCGGCAGACGCGGTAATGGCAGTAAAGATATGCAGAGAAGTTCGAATTAAGGTGTATAGTGTAAGGTATAGTTTGTTCGATGCTCCCAGCGCAACTCGATGATAGTCCAGGTAATAAAGACGGTAGCAGGGGCCAGCACAGCGACGTACCGAAAGAATAGGACGCCAAAAGCGAGGCCTTTCACCTCTTATACTCCGTGGCCTCGCGTCTTCAGAATAAAAAGTTAGTCCCTCCGGCGAGGCGGCGACGGGAGCGAGGAGGCGGCTCGTGATTTTGAGACGAGGCTAGCATCTCGGGATACGGAGGGACTTGCTCTCGACTCAACAGGCGAGCGAATGCGCCGCGAGTGTTTCGAGCGCTGCACTGCAGTATACGTGCGCGTTACGACGGTGTATAGCGGAGGAGCATTACGAATGGGAGAGGCCGATGGGGAACGTGCCATCCCTCATTTTACATAACTTGGCCTGGAGGGAGACATGTCCTTGAAGGTGATCCCACAGCTGCGACGGCGCCTCAATCCATCAACTCCACAGCATATAGGAGTGGCCGGCTAAGCTGTCCAATATAGCACCTGTCCCAACTGGACCTCAACATCCAACACTAGAGGCTGCCACAGCTGGACAACGTGCTTCACACCCTCGTCACAGGCGGTAGTTCGCACACGTATCAATGCAATTATTGCACATACTGACAGGTGACAAGTCATACGCCAAGGGGTTGCTATGGCACGACTCGCATCGACCTCTTCCTCCGCGGCTTGGAGGTCGAGGCCGAAGTTGTCTCGTCTCGCCGCAAGACTCCACTTGTCTGTAACAAGCCTCCTGGGTAGGCGCTGGGATTCCGCAGGTTGGAGCTCCATCAATGGGGCAGGTGTGTCGGCTTCTCCACGGCGGAATTCCTATGTAGCGACTTCATAGGGGCAAGCTGCCTCAGCCCATTACCGCTTCATAAACCGTGATATAGGTTATTCTCCGACTCACCCCATATACCCTGATAATAATGGCATAATGCCGTCCCTTCTTGTTCACTTGGCTATCGGCCTGTCACCCGAACGCAGACGATCTGAAACTACACAAACCCCCGAAACACTCCCACCAGTGTCACGTTTGGAGGAGCCCCATACTGGGAACTGACAGCTTGTCCGTGGGGAATATGCAAGCCGCCTCCTCTGTTTCGGTAGTGGCGGATGCACCTCAGCTTGGGAGCTGGGCGCTGGAATTGACAGCTGGTTCCCACGAATAAGGACAGGGAGGGCAGGGAGCGCGAAGAGGCTCTTACGGTAGGATTGTTTTACCTTTTGAGGATGGGACGTAATAGCAAGATTCACAGCAACGTAGCAGCAATGCATGAACGTGGAGGTCTGGGAGTGGCACGAGGCGACGGTGCCACCGATGGAGCAAAACAATTCAGGGAGGTTTGTCATATCTTGGCATTCGCTCGTAGCATAATGCTCCATCCTTCTCAAGACCACACGTCAAGTATATCCTGTTGATTGTCTGCCGCGTCAGCCCCCTTTCCTGCGGGATACCTCTGTCTTAAACCGTCCTTATTGACAACCGTAACGCGACGACTCGAGAGTTGAGCTGAGAATGCTATTTGAGCCACAACAGGCTCCAGCTTCCCATTCTTGGACCTGAAGAACATTTCGGCTCCTTTGCCTGCCCTTTGCTTCACTTGGAGCAGGGCCGTATCTGTGGTTCCTCGCCGTGAACTATATTGTGAGACGAAGGTTCTCAGGATCATCACGTCCTCCATGCCATATCTTTGTCGACCTTCTCTTCGACAACAGTCTGAACAAATTGCATCATTCCACCTTTCTCGCCTTCGTCAACCATGGCATCTGGGTCGGTCGAGCCACAGCAAATCTTCTCTGCCTGGATGCAGACTTCGTCCCACTGAGCTGGCGTAAAGGAACCTTGGCTCTCGATGACAAGAGGTTCGGCATTCGAGGTAAAAGCTAATACGTGTATAGACTGTGCGGTTTGGGTTTCGAGAAGACTGGGGTTCTGAAGAATCTTTCCTTTTTCAGAGATGGCGAGGAAGGTTGCTGTCAAAGAGGTGGAAAGTGGGATGGCGGCGGAGAGGAGAGCCAGGATGGCCGTTTGGAGCAATGCGGGTAAGATAGGTAGAGTCTGTAGAGCAATGTTAGACTAGGTAATCATAACAGTTGGGTGAGAGAGAAATACCGAAGAAGTCTGGATTGATTTGGAAGTCGCCGTCTCGTCTGGAGGTATGCTCGTTACTTGGAGAGTAACTTGAATCAGCGTCCGAGGAAAGTTGCTGATTAATACCATTTGCCGCAACGTCCGTTCGATGATTGACTCTAGATGCCGCTCACGAGTGCTTCCAACTCCCGCTGCTGGCCGTACGATGACATCGATGGCAGCCTCTTCAGGAAGCTCGTCGCGGCGTTGAACTTCGATTGGGCCGTTGACAGCGCCTATGATCGTATATCCGTTCTGTGAAAATGTCGCAGAACCATCTGTGCTATGGAGATGCGACAAGATTGCGCTGGGTTCTTGAGAAGACGACATGGTGTCTACGTTGCGCGGTGTAGTAGAAGACTGGGGCTTGAAGAAGTTGATTGTTTCGTCTTGGTGACTTTTTGATACGGCTGCCGAAAAGTGACGCTAAAATGCGGGACACCCGGCGTCTTAGCTCCAGCTCCTCAGCCTTGCAGGGTATATCGTGTGTGAGGGTAATACAGCTCTCGCTGTCAATACAACCACCAACTTACAAACCTTTTCACATTGGTCAACATGCCTGCAACCACTGATACACCAAAAGAGGCGCAGGCTGCGAGTATTCCAAATCTTAGAGATCGTATCCCAAAGCTACAGTCTAAACGTCGGCAAGCGCCAGCCGCGAATCCCCTCCCAGTCCCAGAAACGCCACCGCTCCCTCCACCGACCGATACATCAGCATTAGAATTTACAAAGCCCAGCCGCCGTATATTGTCTAAGAAAGACCACGACTTATTCCTGGCCTCGCCTACCCATGACCTTCTGGTCGCCTTCGTCTTCGGCCTTGCATGTGCCGTAGTCGACATGCCAATCTCCGCCGTCTCCAAAAAGACGTCCAGCCCTGTCGTCCAGAGCATACTTGACATACTCGATAATGTCGAAAATGTAATATTACGCAGCCCAGCTGACGAACAAGGTGACTCTCGCTTTGGCAATAGGGGCTTCCGGGACTTCGTCGACCTGACAGCGAAGGAACACACTGCGTGGCACAAGAAACTGGGCATCTCCGACGAGAAGGCGATAACAGAAGTCTCGACATATTTCCTCCAGTCGTTCGGCAACCGCACACGCATTGACTACGGGTCAGGCCACGAGTTGAACTTCATGGTTTGGCTCCTCTGTCTGTACCAGCTATCCATAATCACACGCGACGACTTCCAACACTTGGTGCTGAAGGTGTTCACTAAATACTTAACGCTTATGCGCCATATCCAGTCTACATATTATCTCGAGCCGGCTGGTTCTCATGGAGTCTGGGGTCTTGACGACTACCAATTCCTGCCCTTCCTCTTCGGCGCAAGTCAGCTGCTCCACCATCCCTACATCCGTCCACTTTCCATCCACCAAAACATCACCCTCGAGGAGTATGGCGCGGATTATCTATACCTGAACCAGGTAGCTTTTGTCAATAGTGTCAAGAATGTTGAGGGTCTGCGATGGCACTCGCCGATGTTGGACGACATATCGGCTGCTAAATCGTGGGAGAAGGTGTTGGATGGTATGAAGCGGATGTTTGTCGCCGAAGTCCTAAAGAAGTTGCCTGTGATGCAGCACTTCATGTTTGGATCGCTCGTGCCAGCGGTGGAGGAGATGAACCGTGAAGAGGATCTTGGCCTGCCTGAGGAAGGCGAGGATGCCGAAGGTGGAGAGGTTGTAGTCATGGTTGATGGCATGAAGCACGTGCATCAGATGAACAGCTGGGGCGATTGCTGCGGAATCAAGGTGCCGAGTAGTGTAGCTGCGGCGCAGGAGATGAAGAGAAGAGGCGGCGGTGAGGGATTGAGAAGGATTCCGTTTGACTGATGGATACAGATAGCAAACCAAAATCTACTTTTGATGCATTGAGTATTGAAACGGCAATGCACTGAGTCAACCAAAGGTTGGCGGCTATATATTTCTACTGTACGGGTATAATCCAATACCGTGTTTCTATCCATAAACCTCCCATGAAATGCACGTCAGGCTAGCCAAAGCTCATTAGAGCTTCGCTGTTGGTTTGTCGAACCGCACTGTATTTGAGACAGTTCCAACGTTCTCTAGGGAGACATCAACATCAGCATCCTTTAGCCAGCACTGAAGGCTCATTCCCATTCCAACACCGGAGGGTCTATCTGTCGTAAGCAAAGGCCGCTTTATATGCATCAAGCAGGAAAGGCAGTACTTATCGTCTCCGGGAAGTAAAGTGGTGCCTATGCTTAGGAATGCGATCGACTTCGCAATTCCAAAAATCATATCATCCTGGACGGTCTTACCATTCACCTTCGTACTTACCCGCAGGGATTGAGGGTTTCCAATGACCTTGTTGCTCACGATCCCCGGCCCGAAAGGTCCCCATCCATCAAAGCCTTTGCCGATTCCCCATTGTCCATCTCCATACTTGAGCTGCCAGTCGCGGTGAGAAACATCGTTCCCAACTGCATAACCAAGGATATAGTCCAAGGCCTCTGACTCAGAGACATCGGAGCAAGGTTTCCCTATGACAACGATCTCCCTCATAATCTAGGCCTTCTCCCACTTGGGCCTGGGGATGGACCGGAATGGGATCCAAGGGACCAGTAAGGGAGGTTACTGGTTTGTAAAACAAGACGGGGTAATCTGGGAGTGGAAGGTTTGACTCCCTGGCGTGCTTTTCATAGTTGAGTCCCGAGCAGCGGACGGTTCGGACATCCTCGAGTGCCAGGGGTGTCAGGAGTCGTTTGATGTCGACGATCTTGTTGGTTATCTTATAATTCCCAAAGATCGAGCCTTCAATAATTCTGGCTTGCTTGGTCTTAGCAAGATCCGTCACGCCCGTGGGTAGAATGGCATCTCCATAATAAGTCCGGCCATCTGTGGCCAGAAATCGGACAAGGCGCTGGAGAGAGTGTTAGCATCCAGAAGCTAAATGTGAGAACGCATCTCCCAAGGTGACCGCTGACGTACGGTAAAGGATGATGACATCGCGGGTTTTCGGTGCTCTTGCTTCCGAAGTTTAAACCATGAGAAGTCTACCATTTCGCTGGAGTCAGTCTCTTTAAGTATTTCCGACCCCCATTTGATATATCCCCCACGGTTGTCCCGCAGTTTACCCCAACGGCAGATCTCCAACGCGACATTCCCACAAAATCGGTACCCCTGCCCCATCGGCTGCGGATCTGCGGAATCACACGGCCTCTGGCTTTCCACGAATGAAGAAATATCCCGAAACTTTAACATTGAATCGACAGCTGTCCGAAAGTTTTGAAGAACATACGATCCGTCGAATCAACTCGCATCTCGGATATTCTTGAGATCCTGCCAAATGAGGCTCTCAGGGTTACAGAGAGAGGCCTTGGCACTCTATAGAAAATGCCTAAGAGAAAGCAGGAAGAAACCGGCTGTTTGTTTACCTCGGCCTGGTCGTGTGAGCTCAATTTGCTGACGAAGTTCCAAGGAGACAAAGATGCACTTCGAGAAATTTGCCAGGTATGACAAAGCTATACAATATGTCTTGGGTAGCAATTGGCGCTAACCGACCGATGTAGACACGAGTTCGAGAAGAACATTGGCCTCAACAAGAAGGATTTCGGCGCGATTGAATACCTTTTAAGAAAAGGGAATCGACAATTGGAGATATACGCTTCACCCGGTATAAAAGACATTCGATAGGTCGAAAATGGATGGTCTGGCTCCTCGATAAGATGGGACCTCGACGCGTATTGGGTTGGCAAAGGGAATAATGGAGGCAAGAGCGACCGGGACTGCCGTGATTCACGATGACTGGCATATATTCCTATTCGGAGCTGGATCGAGTCTTGAAGGCAACATGATCGATACCGCAGACAGTGCTACATGATGTTGCCACCAAACGCCCACTTGAAAGGCTTCCATCGTTTCGGCCTCACCCGCCTGCGATCGATGTCCAGCCATGGAACCGAGTGCACGCCTTCGCATGGAATTATACAGAAAGCACCATTCCACTCAAAAATACCGATTCCAACTGGATCTATAAGGCAGACGGGTGCCCGCAGGCGATACATTTCTCAAGGCCGCGTCTCGTTCCCAGGCTTGGCAGTACTCCGGGAACCTCACCACGCGTTGGGGTGCACAGTCACGCGCCTTGGAGGGTCTATTTGCTACAGGGAGGGAGCACACAAGTCTTTGTTAAGAAACCAGATTCCACGTGGAAAAGTCGGGAAGCATGACGTGCGGCCAACAACCAATATTAGCAGCCCTTCTGTTCAATATCAGCGTCCGCAATCCGAGCCGATGAGCCGTGCAACACAGGTGACAGTTACGCACCGAGTCTCCCCGGCTGTGCTTGGGCATACTCAAAGAATAGAGAAGAGTTTGGAAGGGTCATCGTCTGAGCTAGCGGGGGCGCCATTCCTATTTCCGTCGCTGAGAAAGCCGTCTATATATGCCAATGGCACAGACAAGCCCCTTGCTGGTCTACCGGTTGCTCACATTTTTGAACACCCAAGACTTCTTGAATCCGGGGCGAAAATCGGCGATCCTGTCAAACGCGACCCTACCCCTAATCATCGACCTACCAACCCATCAGCCGCAAGTCCAACACCCCCGCCATCCCTCGCTGTGCCGGCCCTACCACCAACCTCAGCACTTTCCGTGATAGATGCCCAGGAAGTTACGTATCAAGATATTCTAGACGGACTGCAACTCGGACTATCAGCTATCCTAGACAGCGACGTGGATTTCTGGGTCAAGGAGGTCGTGGGTACAAGTGTCCGTCGCTTTCTGGCTGATATAGCTGCGCTGGGTGAGCTGAAGGGGTAGTGAATGAGCGAGGTGCTTGACCTCGAGGCGGGTGTTTTATTGTAGAAGCTAGCTCTCGGCTTTGGAAGGCAGATGGGAAGGTGAAAAGGAGATGGAGCAGCGGGACAGTTGTTCTATTGATAGAGACTAGCTATCGGTCTCGGAAGGCAAATGGGAAGGTGGGGGAGGATGGAGCTGGGAACGGTTAGGTGTATCATTATACCCCTAACAAACAGAACAGAACAGACAATCAATCACCAAACACAAGCACAAACCCATTATCCCAACCTCCCCCACCTTCCAAGCCCCGATCCTCCTCCATTCCCCCCACCCCCTTCTCACGAGAAGCCCGTGTCTCGACACCGTAAATAGACTTGTGTATGCCAGCAGTATGGGACCACGCTGGTTTGACTGACGCGCTGGAAGCTGGAATGGAATACGGAGTAACTCTACCCGTCCTGGCTGCGAGACACCCAACCACCCTGCGTGCGTGTTTCAGAACTGGCGTCATAGAACGGACGCGGGAGGGGGAGCCGGTGGTGAGTGTGATTCGGGGAGGTGGGATTGGAATTGGGATGGATTGTGTGAAGGTCTGGTATGGCAGTCTGGCTGGCTGGTGCATTTGGGCTTTGTGGTTCTTGAATACCTATCCAGGCCCCCTGGCCTAGAGGAAGTAGACGCAGCTGGATAACACGGGCCGCATACAATGATTTTGGAGGAGCCGCTACTAAAGTCGTCAAGAAGGGGGGCGTCATGTGATATTTGGGAGGTTGTTTCGGACCTCTCCATTCCGCAGAGGAGACATCAAATCATCCCCACGGAAGCAGGGGGATCCGCGCAAGGAGGCCAGCAGACACCTTGGTTTCCTCGCAGACATCCACGCAGCTAACTTCTCATCGATGAGAGCGGGGGTTTTTTGGATTTGCCAGGCATCAGAGGAGGTGGGCAGCAAGTCGAAACAACACACAACGGGTCGTTACAGGTATAAACGGCTATGGGATGTCGAGAGTGCTCTAGATGGAGTCTCAGAGACTCCGACCCCCCGTCACGTTTGTCCCGCCCAGGTGCGTAGCCGCTGGACGCGATCGAACAGGTACGTGCACGGTGCAGGCTGAGCGGGTTTGGGGGGTGGAGAGTCAAGGGGGATGGGGGTTGGGGGTTGGTGGGTTGGTGGGTCGGTGGCTATCCGTGTAATTTTGGTTATTTTTATTTTCCTGTGCTCCTGGACAGGTCTGGGCTGGGCCTGGAGCTTGGGGGGTGAGCTTGCTGGCGCTGGTGCTGGACTTCGGATGACCGGCGATGCTGTATGGTGTACAGATTGTAAAGTGCTGCACCTCGGTCGAACTCCGACTTGGGATGTGCGAGGAGGCGATGAGACGGCGGTAGATGGGGATGGGTGAATTGTTAATTGCTAATTAAGCACTGGTCTTTGTTTCAACGACCACCGGGTCATTTAGCCGTCAATCCCCAGCGTCAATGGGAGATTAGCTATGGGAATTCTAGACGAGGTGGGCGTTCATTTCATTTCACTACCACACCGCTCTTCCGGGAAGATGAGGCCTTGATCTGATACCGTATCATCAGATTGTTTCGTAGCTGGGACTTCGGGTGACTATTTGCTGATGCGTGAAACTCCCTCCACCCCCTCGTCGAAATCATCCGCTCTTCAGAGGCAGCTTGCTTCTCTTACCGCTCTCCAGCCTGCGCGTGTACCATACTCGCGTTGAAGAAACGCCGCAAGCCCACACGCACGCACTTACCATCAGTCTCAGCTCAGCCCGGCGCAAGACGAGTGTGGCAGCCATGTCAGCGCCACTAACGAACAGCACGTCAGTGAATTATCTAGTATCTCAGCCGTCGGCAGTGGTGTATAAGTAGTGCAGCATTAACTGTGCCTAGCGATGGAAAACGTGCTCTAGTACAGTCCTCTCAGCTGAGTGGCGTATAAGCCACGCATAACCAGGGCTGGGATCAGGGGCTGGGCTAGGGTGGCCACTCTGCCGGATTTGTCCAACACTGCATCCCTTTTTGTCATGTGCTGTGCTGTCCATGTCGGTACGCGGTGTGAATACCGACCCAGTTACCATTTGCGGGGTGCCAGAGGGCAAAAGGGGAACGAGGCGATGACGTGCAGATGGCGATTAGTAGCGGGCATATAGGGGCAAGCCACAACAGGACGCAAGGGGGCGTGAGACGGGATCTTTATTCGCTTCGTAACATTCAAGCATGTAGAGTATTGATCGAGATGTGCCTACTTGTAAATAGAAGGCGAAGATTATCTAGAATCAGCTACCACAATGTAGACTACCTATGCTAGAATTTAGCTATAGATGGATCGTAAAGTTTCGACAACGGCATAATATATTATATCGAACTCTACACGGCAAAGCTGGATCTATTAGTGTCACTGCAGAAGAACAAATGAAGGCTATACAAACTATTGTAGGAGAGTTTTTAGAGGACAATATTTACAACATGGATGAGATTAGGCTTTACTAGAGGATGAGCCCTTTAAAGGGCTTTATAACACAATCAATTCTAGGACAGAAGAAGGACAAAGCATGCATATTAGAGGGAATACAAGAGGTGGAGGGGGCTTAGATGAGGACAGAATTCTATAGGAGGCGATGGCTCCATATATACAGGTTTCCGATGCTCAAGATGATGACGATGAGGAGCCCTAGCATCCTGTGCTCACTACACAGAACGCTGTACAAGCCCTCTAAGTTCTAATTGAGTTTCTGCGCTCTTTAGAGGCGTAGAGGGGCAATTAGTGGCCAAACAGGCTAATGACTTGGTTCAAGGGGGATGGATGGTTTAGCTAAGGGGCTACTTCGGGTCTACTTCGGATCACTTTCTAACTCGAAATTACTCCGTACTATAACTCGATATATTTATGCATGATCAATTACATCGACTTAACGAGATAATACTGTACTGTCACGCGCTAAAAATGGAACTGTTTCTCGCAACTAAAGTGGTCTACTTGGCCATCAGGTGGTCAACCAGCGACATTCCTCGACGATTTGGGGAAAGGTCTGGGGAGGCCCCTATGTCGCATGATTGGGTGGATAGTGACGGGGATCATGGCAGCCCTCACAGTGTTGGCGCCAATCGCTGGAGCGAACTCTTGGAGATCCATACTCAGTTGAGAAGTCGACGAACCAGTTCATTCTTGTGGGCCAGGGCGGCGGCGAGAGGGTTTCCCCAGGCTTGTCCAATGGGCGGCTTTCCTTTTGCTATTTTCTTGAAAGTCAGCCACACTTGTTACCGGCACTGTTCCAAACTTCATCTTCGGGCTCGATGGGCTTCAGCGGCTCGTGTACGTACAATATAAGAAACGAGAACAGGAGTAGCAATATATTAGAAGTGTTTCAAAGAGAGGTGTCCTTCGCATATATCTGTACTCCGGATAGTATACGCATGTACTGTACCCATCTATCCATCCACAATCACGATTACTCCTACCATCTCCCATGAAACTATAGCTACATTTCGCCCATTACTCCATTACTCCTGTGCAAGTACGATCATCGCTATACCATAATAAATAGTAATATTTGTTCTATGCGACTCCTGCCCAGCCTACCCAGCCTCTTCCGCCAAGACTCGGTATACTCGGTGCTACCCCTGCATTACGGCGGCACCTCCATAATACCGGCTTGTATACGGAGTATGCCCCAATTGCTTGTTCATCTTAATCCCCAAACTCAGCATCGACTGCCAATATAATCATTCTCTGCGACCGTTTGATTTCTGCCCCGATCTACCCACCTCTATTGCTCGTTGTCGCCGCCTGCCTGAAATAGCAGTGGCCTCTGCTGCTGGATGTGCGACAATTCTCAGGGTTACCTCTGAACATCTCGGAACCTCTAACCCTCATCGCATTGACATCAGCTGCTACGATCTCTCTCGGCTGGTCTAAACTGCCGAGCTTTGGCCAGAGCCGCTGACCCATTGGTGGTTTTGCCTTGTTCGTCCGTCCGCATAGCGCAATCCAGGTCCTATTCGCTGGGCGATGTCGCAGCATTTGCAATCCAGAGATGGACCCTCTGATACCTACAACTTTCCAGTCCAGGACAGCCCCACAGTAGGACGAGCACTACCTCAGTCTTCAGCAGGCAATCCTCAAGGGAGTCCCTCGTCGTTATCGGATACTGGTTATAGGTACGCTGTGGCCGGCGTCGACGATCCCCCCCCTCTTACTGACGACGCATTTGGACAGGACGCATCACAAGACGACCCCGAGTCCGTTACAGACGAGCACGTCTGCAAACCCGAACCACGCAACTACGATGCCTACGAAGTCTGCCTTCTCGAGACCGTCAGTTGAAGACCAGTCGCGCACGGTAGAAACGGTGCGGTATATGTCTCGGAGAGGAGACGAGCCTCGATCCCCCAAAGAACGTCTAGACGACCTACTGGCCTCTGAAAAGAGTTTCTACGACTCCGAAGACGCGCCAACAAGTCATACACAAGCAGGAGGAAGACCTAGGTATGCCATTTTGCCTGTTGCTCCTGTGCTGGCAGCCGCTAACTGTTTGCTAGACCTGTGCACTCTCCGACTTCATCGAATGCTTCCTCGAGAAGTGTCTCCGACTCAACCTCCACGGCGAAGCTAGGTGGACGCTCAACTGCTGCGACACCCCCTCACATGGCTGCCGTTCCCGAGCATCGAGCAACAATGGCGCGCGGAGTCCCCCGAACGTCGTCAATCGACTCTGCGATCTCCTCCATATCAGGGGCGCATTCACACAAGGCGTCGCAAGATGCGCAGGCTCGCGGAGAGTCGCCGGATATCGCGAACTTAATACAAACGGCCGGATCTCCCGAGGCAGTCATTCAGTATCTCCTCAAGGAGAAGCAGTCTCAGACGGCGCAAAATACACAGCTATGGCGGCTAGTTGACAAGCAAAGGGCGATGATACTGGGCCTGAACAAGGATCTGGAGCGTGCGCTGAGGGACAAGGAGCGCTACCGCAAGGAGATGAAGGAAAGCCTGCAGGCAGTCAGAGCAGGCAAGCCCAGCAAGGGTTCCGTTGCCGAGAGCTCTGCCGGCAAGTCTTCTCCAAGCCCACGAAGCCCGGAGGGACCGAAGGGCGGAAATGTAGGAGCATTTGTTTCTGCGGGGCTGAGGGAGTCTCACGAGGGTCACGACGAGCCAGAGCATTCGCCAATTGACGTTGCTTTGGCGCCGTACCCCGTTACACCACCAGCAAACCTGCCAAGCGCACAGAACCCGACTCTACCTAACATGGTAGATGCCGAGCACAAGATGCCAGACCCTTCGTCACATGCCCTGAATAATTACAATGCCGATGCGCAACCCCAGGGCTTCGGGTCGGGTCAGCAGCAACGCAAGAGCCCCGAGATGGGTCGCGAGATGCCATATAACGCTTCAGTGCCACCTTCAAGAAGCCTCCCAGCCAGGCCACCTCCGAAGACAGACACCAAGGCCGGACCTAGTTCAATGCAAGCCCCAACGCTCAATGTAGTAAGCGCCTCTCCAGTGAAAGACCAAGGGCGAGCAAACATGCCGCCTCCACGGAAACCCCCGCCAGCACCGCTGAATCTTGGCAAGCAGCCAAATACCAGCTCGCATTTGCACCAGGCAGATTCGGGGGATGAGCTCGATTCCGACTACGACGATTTGCTGGAGGTTGACGAAATCCCCACTTTCAATGACAGAGGGCGCCGGAAGACGAGGGAGGAAGACGATAGAGAGAGGGAAATAGCTGCTATGAAAGACGCGGAAGCGAGAAGCCTGTCTAAGAAGAGCAAGTCGAGACCTTCTACATCTACGAACAAAGAGCCGCCCCAGGATCCTTTGCCAGCTATCCGACAGGCCGTACAGATCAGCCCACCAGACATGCGTGAAAGGCACTTGTCTCCACCAGACTCGAATGCAGGCTCTCTAGCCGGCATCTTAAACTCGTCAAGCAGTTCTGAAATGCAGCCGGAGACCATAACTCGAACTTTCATCTCTCCGCCACCGATGAGCCCAGGGCTTCCTTCAAGCCCGAGGCCGATGGGAGGTCTGTATATGGCACTGCCACGGAACCCACGTGATGGAGACTCGCAGTCTTCTTTCAATATGGCGTCTCCACCGTTATCACCAAGAGGAATTGGAGCGTTCCCGTCGATGCCCCTATCTCCTCGAGCACCTCGACAGCCGATCCCTCTTCCACCAAACACGCCAATGTCGATGGCATCGCCAGACATATTGTCAAAGTTTGGCCAGATGGAACTGGTGTCACCAAAGCCGTTGCAAATCACGAAACTTGCGGTGGAAGAACAGGATCCACCGTTGAATGAGAACCGATACAACAGCCTCTCGGAATCCTCAGACTCTGTTGAAATTTTCCGAGGATTTGTCACGGATGAATATCCGGATCTCCTCTTACCTCCCAACGCACTTCCTTCCATCGACGTTCGAGTCGCATCTTCTCGATTGAAGCCATCTCGGGTGAGCATGATGTTCCCAAGTAAGGGGGACGAAGACCCGGTTTTCACGCTTGCTGTATTTGGCAGATCTAACGGGCAAGAGCTGTGGAGAGTGGAGAAAGACTCGACATCCCTACACCAGCTTGACCAGGAGCTCAAGAAGTCGAACGCCTTCAGCAGCGTTAGACTTCCCGAGAAATCTTTGTTCAATGGGCACGCCCCCGCTAAGATTGATGCTCGGAGAACTGCTCTCGACAAGTATGTTGATGACATTTTGAACACACCCATGGACACGGCGCGGGCGCTGCATATTTGCCAGTACCTGTCGACTAATACACTGGAACCAAACTCGGATTCATTGGCCCATACTGACGCCAAGAGCGAGAGCCCAACTAAGATGGGACCAGGCGGTAGGCCCGTTAAGAATGGATACCTCACGAAGAGAGGCAAGAACTTCGGTGGCTGGAAAGCACGATTCTTCGTCCTGGATGGATCTATTCTTAAATATTACGAGGCTCCTGGTGGCGCCCATCTCGGCGCGATCAAGCTGCAGGCCTCCAAAATTGGCAAGCAGCAGCAACATCAGCAAGACAGTCAGACAGACGATGCCGATAACCAGTATCGACATGCTTTCCTGATCCTCGAACGGAAACGAAAAGACTCTTCGAGCCTAGTCAGGCATGTTCTCTGCGCGGAAAGTGACCAGGAGCGTGATGAGTGGGTAGAGGCCCTCGTACAATATGTCGAGTATCAAGATTCTGAAGATGAGGGGCCTGAAACGGTTCACCACGCTCGCAATGACTCTGGGACTTCCAGTCACACTACCGGCTCAACTTCTAAGAAGAAGCATGTTCAAGCAAAGGGGCAAACCATAGCTGAAGCAGATGATGAACTTCTGCGCGCTATGCCTTACGAAGCCACTGTGGCTGGTCAGGTTCCTCGTGGCGTGCATCCGAGACGCAAAACCAACGAGACCCCACCGCCAGCATATGACGACAAGGATGACCCAAGGTACAAGAGCAACGATACTCCATCGCCGCCTTTCCAAGGCCACGGGAAGGACTTCTCCGGCCATTTGCCTCATCCCCAGTCGTCCGTGTCTATCTCAGCCCCCAAGAACCTTACCGTCATCCAAGACGCTAGCCACTGGGGCAACAAGCAGACAACTCTCGCGCCGGTCGATGACAGGAAGACTCAAAGGAAGCGCAGTTTCTTCGGGTTTGGCAGCAAGCCAAGACCTTCGTCGGAATCACAAGACCACATCGAGACGTCCAACTTGTCACAGTTATCTTACGAACAGCATGGCCCTATCCGCGCGGTCTTCGGAGCACCATTGGCAGAAGCTGTTAAATACAGTCACCCTGCCGACGTGAGTGTTGAGCTTCCCGCTGTTGTCTACCGCTGCGTCGAGTACCTCGACAACAAGAACGCGTCTACGGAAGAGGGTATCTTCAGGCTGAGTGGATCCAATGTTGTGATTAAGGTGCTTCGCGAACGCTTCAATACCGAGGGCGATGTCAACTTGATCACAGATGAGCAGTATTACGACATCCATGCTGTTGCATCTTTGTTGAAGCTGTACCTCCGTGAGCTGCCAACAACGATACTCACAAGAGAACTCCATCTGGATTTCCTGTCTGTCACGGAGATCCCCGATGTCAATGACAAGGTGTCAGCTTTGAATGGACTCGTCCACAAGCTCCCCAAGGCCAATAATACGCTTCTGCGCTATCTGTCCGCCTTCCTCATCAGCATCATCAACAACTCCGATGTCAACAAGATGACAGTCCGCAACGTGGGGATCGTATTCTCTCCTACGCTGAATATCCCAGCCCCAGTGTTGGCTCTCTTCCTTCAGAAATACGACGGCATCTTCGAGTCCGAACCTCAGCAATTCGACCAGAACCAAGTTGAGGTCACCTTAAGGGCGCCGCCATTGACTCCGGAAGACATCCGCTCTCCGAGAAAGCAACACTTCCAGGACCTTCCAACCCCATCCTATAATCAGGCAGCGTTCCCCCGCGGGCCGCCTCCATCCTTCCCTCTCCCCGCCCAGCCCAACAAAACGGCTTACGACACCGGCTTCACTCCTCTCCAGCCGTCATACGAAAGTCAGTACTCTCAGCCTACGCTAGGAGGTCCCGAATATGGGTCTACAGGGCAGACAGTCAGAGGGCCAGCATACGACCAATACAGCAATGGGAATGCGGCATATAGCAGGCAATACGGCAACGAGAGCAACCTCAACCCCAACGGCCAATCCTCGAAGCAGAAGCGGAGAGAGAGCTCGCTGCTCGGCATGAACATGGGCCAGAAGAAGCCCAACGAGGACAGACTTCGCAACAACCGTGAGTAGCCCACCACACAGCAACTATCCTCTTTAGCCAAGCACGCACTGACGGTCACCTCCTCAAGGCTTGGTAGACGAAGAATCATTCTTCGATTAATCCACCACTACTACCACGACACAGAAATCGTCATCGGTTGACTAGCTGGCTATGGCGCCACGGACTGGTTCCGTGGGCCCAGCTGGCATACCGCCGCCTCTTTCTAATGAATGACCAACACGAGATCGGAAAACACGCACGCGTTATAATCTATTAATAATAGCGGGAAACGTTCTATATACGAAAGTCGGACACACAAACACACATGTACATTAATCTGGCCCCCCCACCTATCCCGTCGCCAAAACCGCGGCGCGCCCGCGAGCGCCGCTTGGTTGGCCGGATTTTTTTACCTTTTATGAGCTTATACCCTGTTATGCCATTTGTTTATTTATTTGTTTTGGGATTTTTTTTTTTGCCAGTTATGAGATTTATGGATGAGCAGATTGAAGGAGGTAGGGAGTGAATTAGGGGTTTTTGCGTGCGGGTTTGATAGTTGTTTTCTATGATGAACGGATTGTGATGATGAATGAGAATGGAATAGGGTGTTTGTAAATTAGTTGTTGGGGTTGATGAATAAATGGACATTTAAAGATTGAAACCTGCACTCACCACCATATCGAGTCCCTTATCAAAAAGAAATAAGAAGCCCAAACAAGCCTTCCAGCGCCAAATTAGTTGCTATTTCCGTCTAGGGGTCCTATCCCAGGGACGCAGTACCCCATGCACAATCCGGTTGCGGAAAATCCCGCAACCGCACCCCGAGCTTGGTACCCATGCACCAAATTTCTCAATCCCCAAACCTCACCTCCCCCTTCCCTCAAACCACCTTTGCAAATCCCACAGTCCCTACCTACCTCCTCCTCCATCACCACCATGCCCCGCCCAATGTGCCGCCCCTTCACCCAGCGCCTCGGCGCCTCCGCCCGCCTCACCCCTACACCGCGCACCCTCTTCCGCAGCCCAGCGGCGCGCCGCTTCGCGTCGGGGGAGTCGGGACCGAATCCCAACCCGGGACAGAGCCCGTTTAAGGTGTGGCCGTTTGTGGCGATTACGTTGTTGGGGACGGGGTCGTATATGTTGATGGCTAGGAGTAGGGATGGTTCTTGTATGTTTCCCCTCCGTTGACGGAGCTGCGTGGGAGCTGGAAAGGAGGAAAGGAGGGAGGTAGTGAGGTAGGGAGTAAGCGATGGGTGGTACAAGAGGAGTGGCTGCATGACGTTGCAGCTGCCAGCTTGTATAGTCCTGTTGCTACTTACCTGCTTCTCCCCCCCCCCAGCTTCAGCGCATGGAACGATGCACCTGCCAGTCCACTATCACCTCTACACAAAAAGCATCAACTAACTCCTCTCTCCACAGACATGACCCCCGACATCACCAACCCCCAAACCCCCCGCCTGCCCGCCCCCAAGCAAGACCATCCCCGCTTCTCCCCCTCCAACGTAACCGTCGTCTTCGTCCTCGGCGGCCCCGGCGCCGGCAAAGGCACCCAATGCGCCAAGCTAGTCGACGAATACCACTTCACCCATCTCTCCGCCGGCGACCTCCTGCGCGCGGAGCAAGAGCGCCCCGGCTCCGAATTCGGCGAGCTGATCAAAGAGTACATCCGCGACGGCAAGATCGTGCCCATGGAAGTAACCGTGCAGCTCCTCGAGAACGCCATGGCGGAGGTAGTCGAAAGGGCTGGGGGGAAGGGGAAGTTCCTAATCGACGGGTTCCCGAGGAAGATGGACCAGGCGGAGAAGTTTGAGGAGAGCGTGGTGAAGGCGGCGTTTGTGCTGTTCTTTGATGCGCCAGAGGGTGTGATGATGGAGCGGTTGGTGAAGAGGGGGGAGACGAGCGGGAGGGCGGATGATAATGTCGAGAGTATTAGGAAGAGGTTTAGGGTTTTCGTGGAGACGAGTATGCCGGTTGTGGACAGGTTTGAGAAGGAGGGACGCGTGGTGAGGGTTAAGGCTACGCAGAAGCCGGAGAAGGTTTATGAGGATGTTAAGAAGGGGATTCAGCCGTGGATTGCGGGGAAGAATTAGTAGTGGCCGGGGGATCGTGGCTTGAAAGTTGGAGGGGGTGGGATGGACGGCGGCATTGTGCGATTAGGATTGAAGACGGGAAAGGTGAAGGCAGGCGGCTGTAAAATATACATACACAAGACGAATAGGCTCGTCCGTCACAAGCATTTCATATCTGTAACTCAAAAAAACAAACAATACATTTCGTTCAGAGCGAGGCCACGGCGGGGTCCAGAAGATCCGGCAAGGTCCGCTACCAGCTTTCAGAAAGAATTCTTTTTTCCAGGTCATGCTCCACCGGACGCGAAACTATCCTGCGTAGTCTCCATAAGACACACCTCTCTCTCGCGCCCGACATCCCATGCAAAAGTAGACATCATTACTGTTTTTGCGTCCAAATTCATCCCTGTTTCCAGCCATGCATCGCATCTAAAACATCCAACGCCAGCCCGCAGTCCACTACCCCTTCCGCGGCCCTTCCTACCCCATCCCCCCCCCCCCCTTTTCCAATTCCCCATCTAATCCGTGCCCATCTCGATCATATCACGGCCTCCGACGCGCCTGCCAGCACCCATCCCGCTCGCGCCCTGGGCCTTCCGCTCCACGTCATGCAGCTCGCGCTCCTTCTGCGCCTCAGCAGCCTGGCGCTCGCGCCTGACGACCTCGAGGACATTGCGCAGCGAGTCCTTCCAGGTGTCGAGACGCGTGGCGACCTCGCGCCACTGCTTCTCGCCGAATACGCGGTACGTGGTGCGGTGGACGAGGAAGACCTGTTTCTCCTGCGACAGCTTGCCCTCGACGAGCCCGGCGCGGATCACGTCGATGACCCACATCTCGACGTCCTCGGCGGGGATCTGCAGCGTCTTGGCGATGCGCTTGTACTCGAGCTCGCGGCTGCTGGTGGAGGCGGCGAGGGAGGCGAGGGTGAGGAGACGCATCTTGCGGTGCAGGATGTCGGCGTCGAGGGCGTTGTCGTCCACGAAGGTGTCGTGCTCGTCGCAGAAGTCGGTGTAGTCCTCCAGCTCCTTCTCGGACACGATCTCGAGCAGCTCGGACCACACGGGGTGCGTGTCGGCGAGGGCTTGGATGGTGGGCAGCGCGGACAGGTCGTGGAAGTCGAAGTGTGTGCTGGAGAGGAGGGCGGATTTGAGCGCGCGAAGGGTGAGGTCTGTCGCCTCGGGGGTGCTGAGGGAGGCGGTGTCCTTGGCGTCGAAGGTGCGCAGGGCGCGGAGGAGGTATTGGAAGGATTGCCTTGGGGGGAAGTGTCAGTATATTTTTCATGGCGGGGTAAATATCCTGAAAGGGAAAGTGGGCTGTCTTACTCGGTCTCGCCAACATCCGCGGCGACGTCTGCGACCAGCACGAAGAGCTTGCGCTGGTCCTCCTCATCGATATCCCACTCCTCGATCCAGGTATCCAACTTCTTGAGTTGCGGGCGGAGCATCTCGTAGAGGCCGCTCTTCTTGACGAGCTGGAGGATGGCCTGGAAGACGTTGAAGCGGACCTCATTCTCTGGGTCGAGTAGGTTGAAGACCGTGGTGAGGACCGACAGCGCGAGTCCCGAGCTGTTGAGTGGGGACGACACGATGGGCCTCGACAGGTTCTCGCACACCTTTGGCAGGAACATGTTGACGTTGGGCGACTGGACGACCAGGTAGACTAGGAGGTTGTATGCGGCGGTGAACTCCTTCTCGGGCGCGCCGTTGAGGGCTGGAGCCGCGGTAACCAGCTTCTTCAGCACGTCGTCCTTCTTGTTGGCAGCCAGGAGCGGCTTGATCTCGGCGCGGACGCCCTCTGCCTCGTTGACCTTCTTGACATTGTCGATGTAGCCCGCGAGCTCGTCGGCAAGGTCCTCGAAGGTACCGTCGATGAAGACCTGTTGGGTAGCCGCCATATTGTTCGAGTTCGTAGTAGTTGACCGTGTGAGGAACTCGAGGGTCTGGTGGTGGTGAGGTGGGAGCGGAGGAGGTGGGGTCAGAGGTTTCGATGTTCTCGCCGTCGTGGTGGTTAGTCGGCGTGATAAAATCGTGAGATGTGGGCGCCAAGATTTCCGATGCCGCGACGCTAAACTGTTTTGGGAATTGCGTTAAAGTTCGACCATCACCAATATTTGGTGGGAGGGAAGACTGGGAAAATCAACACTCAAATCATGGATTATTCGCCCACAAAGACATTTCAGTTCTTTTGTTTCTCGTTGATGTATTAAATATATATGGTTTTCTCTGAAAATAACAATTTAATGCATTTCTAGCCTGTTCATCGAAATTTACCGTCTCGCACACCAATTTTCCCTTCCGCACAAAGTAAACTCAAGCACCAGAGCCAGCACAGAGTATTTAATTGTTTAACAGCACAATGTATTCATATCATCCTATTATATAAACCCCTTCTGGATATCCCATGGCTACCCACTTCGAACGACAAAAAAAAAAGGTATAAAAAAGAAAAGCGACTGATCAGTCTTGAGTCCCAACTCCCTAGATACAAAAAAATCATTTATCCCGTCCCAATCCCAACCCAATGTCATAAAACCCCCCTAACCCGAGTCGAGTACACTCAAGAAAATCGCGGAACCTGCCGGGGCAACCTCGGACTACTCGGCGGGCTCTCAATCCTATGCTCACTCGTAACGGCCTGCCCCGGCGCCCCCTCCGCGAACCCAAACGTCGCCTGACCCGGCCCCGGGCTCGCCGGCTGATACGCCCCCGGAATAGGAACAGAAGCGTACTGCTGCTCCCCCGGGGCAACAGGGGCATGACCCGCGTTCGTCTCCGCGAGCGGAGCGGGCGGGGTAAAGGCGCGGATGGGCGGCGTCTTGGGGGACGCGGCGTGGATCTTGATCGGGGGTGCTTGGAGGGCGAAAGGCTTTGCGGGGGCGGCGGAGCCGGGGTGCGAGGCGTCGACGAAGCGGGTTCCTGGTGCGGCGGTGGAGCCTTGGCCTTCTTCGGCGTCGGAGGCGGTGGCGGCGAAGGAGGAGGGGAAGCGGGGGGATTTCATGTGCGTGCTGTAGGAGGGGGAGAGGGGACCGAAGCCGGGGGTGTTGGGGGCGGATTGGGTGCGCAGCTGGGCCAGGTAGAGGTCGGAGCGGGCTTTGTCGCGGTTGTCCATTGTCTTGCGGAGTTGGCGCTTGGAGTAGTAGCGGTAGAAGATTACGCCGTAGATGGCGATGGTGATGGTCTCGACGACGACTTCGATGACGCAGCAGATGACGGCCCAGGACTGGGGGTTTGTTAGTTGGCTGGCTGTGGAGGGGAGTGGGAGAGAAGCTTACTTGGATGCGGCAGACTAGCTGGTAGTCGATTTCGTCGTTGAAGGCTTGCCGGCGCTTATTATCGACGCATGACCAGCCCCATATATCTTTTCCGCTGCCATTATTCCGTGTGCCTTGTAGGATGCCAGCTGCGATAGCCCACATGACGATACTAAACAAGAAGAAGCCGACTGCGAATATAGTGTAATAGACAGCTGTCTTTTCGGCTCGCCGATGGCCGCCGCGGAAGTATGCCCAGAAGACCAGAACACAGAAGAAGAGAGAGACACAGGCAGTAGCGAGGACGACATATTGGGGCCAGGTTTGCGTTCCACTAGCCCAGGGCGGGAGATCGCTGCGTGCTGGGAGATGCTTTGTAGCCATGAAGACGTGGATAGTGGTACCGACGAGAGCGAGGACGATGAGACTGCAGCCAAAGTTTACACCACGGAGGAGCAGCTTGACTGCACGCACGCGGACCTTTACTTTCTGTATTTTCATTAGTACGAGTCCGCATCAACGACTCTATCAGCCATAAACGTACCAAGTCCTTCGCCTGCTGCTTATCAGTAACCTCTTCCTGCTTCTCCAGGAACTGCTCCTCTCTGAACGTCGGGCTCAGTGGATTTTCGAGCTTGCGCGCCGGGGTGCCGGGGACCTTCATGGCGCTCTTGAGGCCGGGAGAGGCTGGGCCGACTTGGACCTCGACATGGCGCGTGACCGTGTTATCTGCGATATAGCCGAAGCCGATATCAGAGGGTTTGGCTTCAGACATGCTGGCTTCTGGGGGGTCGTCGAATGGCGATGGACCTTTGCCGTCGATTGGGGAGTTGACTGCGGTCGCTTCTGCGAATCGCGGTGTCCTTGGGACTTGGAGGGCGGATTGTGAGGAGCTCGCTGAGGACTCGGATGCCGTGCGTCCTCTTAGTTGAAGTGGGGTGGGTTTGCTGGCTATGGGGTCTGTATTAGTATTGTGCGCCGCTGAGTAACGTGGCTTTAAGAATCTTACAAGAGCCCATCGCAGTAGGTTTGATATATAAAAAATGAAAGAAGAAGTGCCTTAAGGCAATACTTTTGACAAAGACACACCACCAGTGGGGGGGGGCAGTGCAGGTTGAAGTAAGATCGCAACGAGAAGAGACTTTGGAAGGATCGAGCGATGATGGGTAGAAGAAGGTAGATTTAGAAACGGAGAGGCCAGCTATCGAGGAGGAGAAGAAGAGGAGTCTGAGGAGGTGGGACGGAGAGGGTTTTGACGGGAGTGGAGATGGTGCATTCGCATGAGTGCGGGAGCGCAGGGCAGGGCGGGAGAAGGGTGAGAAGGGCCGCGAAGTGGGTGTGGGACTCTCTTACTCACGCTATGGGAGAATGGAAATAGAAACAAGGGAGCCCAGATCAGCGAGTGCAGGCCTGGCTGGGAATGGCGAGACCTGTGATAGGGCCAACGGACCGCCGTGAAGATACTGGCCACGAGCTAGAGTAGACGCCGGGATGTGAGCGGTTCTCGTTCGCTGGCTGAATGTGTGGACGCAGTTTGAGGCCAACCGCCGGGCACAGGACTCGTCCTTTGGTGCTTTGGAGTGGTCGGACAATGCGCGAGTTCAACGTTCGTATAGGCGTAGCCAGCAACAAGACAGAGAGAGGGGGAACGTGAAGTCAAAAGCCTGTGATCAGCACACAGCGCAACGGACAAAGACAAAAGGTGTCGACAGATGGCGTTGGATATCATCCCTGTGGGAGTTTGAGTTCCCTGTGGGAGTTCGAGTTCCTGTTCGAGTTCCTGTTCGAGTTCCCTGTTCGAGTTCGAGTTCCCTGTTCGAGTTCGAGTTCCTGTTCGAGTTCCCTGTTCGAGTTCGAGTTCCCTGTTCGAGTTCCCTGTGCGAGTCCCTGTGCGAGTTCCTGTGCGAGTCCCTGTGCGAGTTCCTATGCGAGTTCCTGTGCGAGTACCCTGTGCGAATCAACTTTCACATCGCACCTGCCAGTCCGTCCCTAGTATCTCCTCGCATGTCGCATCGGCGGGGAAGAAGCTGATGGGGAACTGTGATTGGATGAGTGCTTGGGCAGGGCGGCGGCGATGGCTGGTGAGGGCCGGGGAGGGCTGTGTGCCTGTGCAGCGCGTCCTTGGTCTGGCGCTTCCAGGGCAGGGTAGGGGCGGGTGTGATTGGTGTGATTGGTGTGATTTGGTGTGATCGGTGCGTGGGGTTGGGGCGGCAGGGAACCTGGGCGGTTAGGTGTCAAGTAATGTTATGCCGCTTTACCACAGTATATACTACTCCGTATTATTTCTCGCAACTTTTTTTTAAAACAGCGTCGACGTGGAACTACGTACATGGGTCCCCTGTTAACAATTATTGACTCAAAGTACGAGTACAATAGAGCGCCATCCAATCCATCACTTCATGACTTCCCAACGGCCCAACAGATGACAGAACACTCCCTTTACATCCCCACCCCCCCCTCTCGTCGGCGATACTGCCACGCCGAATTGATGCCGTTGCCCAGACTTACAGTAGAATGCTGATGATGCATACCCCGAATGCCAGAACCCGACATTTTCCTGGCTATGTCGGAGGGCTGTCTCACACGGTTATATGAGTATACTTCAGCTGGGCTGAGGGGGTTGATTACTATCATGACGTGGCTGGCTGACAAGACCTGAGGAATGGCGTGTGTAGGACAGTGATTGAGAGGTTGAGAGTACTCGTAAGTTGGCGTACAGGCACTGTTTTTAGTCAGCTGATTTTATAGAAACTAGAAATGAATCGGGGTTCTTGATCACGATGCGATTGTTCTTGCGCAGATTGGCGCTAAATGGTTCAAGAGTGCGCGGATTCTCGAAAATGAAGTCTACAAGCTCCATGCAGGCGGAGTAGGTGCCAGTTTATGATTTCTAGGCAGAATCAAGTCGATTACTTCAAAATCGTGCAAATTCCGAAAAATGAAGCTCATGATATTCAAGAATTGGGTGGTAATCTATCTAGAAGCTCGATGCAGGTGCCAATTTCTGATTTTGCGCAAAATCGTGTAGAGTAGTTCAAAAGTGCGCAAGTTCAGAAAAGTGAGGCCTAAGATGGGCTAGTGATAGATCTACAAGCTCGGTACGGGTAGAGAGAGGGGTGCCAATTTTAGTACCAATTTCTAGTTTCTACCGCAAAATCGAGTAGAGTAATTCGAATGTGATAAAAATGAAGCTCAAGATATTCAAGAATCGGGTGGTAAAGTATCTAGAAGCTCGATGCAGGTGCCATTTTCTGGCTTTGCGCAAATTGGCGCTAGTTGTGCTAGAAGTGCGCAATTTTAGAAATGGGTGGTGATATATATGTCTGGAAGCTCGATGCAGGCAGAGTGGCTGCTAATTTTTGATTGCTAGCCAAAATAGAGTTGATCAGTTCAAAGGTGCGTCGATGCAGAAAATGAAGCTCAAGATATTCGAAAATTAGGTGGTGGGCTATCCAAACCCTCGATGCGCGCTAATTATTCCAAAAGTGCCCGAATTCCCAAAGATGATCCCAAAAATGAAGTGATGGGTGCGGATAGTGATTATTGTGGGAGGATTCTGAGTCGGGAATAGATTTCTGCGCAGAAATGGAGAAATGGGGAATGTGCGCACAAAGCGCTATTGGCGAAAGTGAAGCTGGAGACTGAGAAGAGTGGTGATGTTTACAGTGACTGACTGTGCTCGATGACTGGCACCAGAGTCACTAAGATCACATGTCTATCCCATCGTCACAAACTACCACATGCGCAACCCACAATAGATGTTGAACCATTTCCATTCATGCTACACTTAATTTTCGAAGTCCAGCAAGGTATCTATCTCTGCGCTTTTACGCCCCCCCTCTTTTCATCCCTAGACTAACTACCTACCCCTTTTAGGTATCCATTCCACATCTAATGGTGGAACAGGCGGATGCTCTGCTCGACAAACGTAATGCCCAGCTTCTCCGCCGTCTCCATGACGGCGCTGTCGTTCTGGCTACCGGTTGGCGCGGCGATGTACGAGACTCCCGAGCGGCTGGCGCGGAAGACGTTGTCGATGAATGGGAACTACCCATCATAATTAGCAAACCACTCTTAAATCCATCGTGCAGGGTACTTACAAATGCATCACTCGAGCACGCAACGCCCTTCAGCTTGCCCAACCACTCCCTCCTCTCCTCATCCGTGAACTCCTTCGGCACCTCCTCAAACATCGCCTCGTAGAGCTCCCTCTCCGCGCCCTCCTTGGGCAGCTCCCCGCTCACGAGCAGGTCAATAGCATTGCTCTTATCAGCGCGCTTGGAGCCCTTCTTCCACTGGATCTCCAGCACACGGGGGCTGAAGCGCAACCACCAGTTGTCGGCCTTGTCACCAGCGAGACGCGTGCAGTGGATGCGGCTCTGCTGGCCGGCACCGAGACCGACGACCTGGCCGTTAAGCGCGTAGCACACGGAGTTGGACTGCGTGTACTTGAGCGCGATGGTAGCGACGGTCAAGTCACGGAGCGCGGAGTCCGACAGGGCGGCGCCCTCCTTGGGGGTAATGATGGAGGAGAAGGAAGCGGGGGAGATGACCACGTCGTTGCGGTGTTGGGCCATGGTGATGCCGTAGACGGTGCGGGTCTCCTGGGGGTTAGGCACGTACTCCGGGTCGATCTGGAGGACGAGGTAGCGGCCGCCCTTCTTCTTCTTGAGGATCTCGAGGGCGGCGTCCTCGTAGCCGGGCGCGATCACACCGTCGGAGACTTCGCGCGAGATGATCTTGGCGGTGGGCACGTCGACGGTGTCGCTCAGTGCGATCATGTCGCCGAAGGAGGACATGCGGTCGGCGCCGCGGGCGCGGGCGTAGGCTTGGGCGAGGGGAGAGGTCTCGAGACCTTCAATGTCGTCGACGAAGTAGACCTTGCGCTCTTCGGCGGTGAGGGGAACGGCGATGGCGGCTCCGGCGGGGGAGACGTGCTTGAAGCTTGCGGCGGCGGGGTGGCCAAGGGCCTCCTTGAGCTCCTTGACGAGAGGCCAGGCGTTCAGGGCATCGAGGAGGTTGATGTACCCTGGGGCTCCGCAGAGGACCTTGAATGGGAGCTCACCCGACTTGACGTATGCGGCGGCGGGCTTCTGGTGGGGGTTGGCGCCGTAGCGGAGGGCGAGCTGCTGGACGCCGTTGGAGGCGTATTGCTTGCGGAAGAAGTCCGATATCGCAGCGTCGTAGTCGGCAGTGTGGCCGAATGCCTTGAGGGCGTACATCTGTCTGCTCTGCTCCTTGATCTCGCCCTTCTCAAGCTCCTCGAGGAAGGATGGGTAGTCAGATGGGTCGCTGAGGATGGTGACGCGGGTGTGGTTCTTGGCGGCTGCGCGGATGAGCGTCACGCCTCCGATATCGATCTCCTCAACGGCCTCGGGGACGGTGACGTTGATCTTGGCGACAGTGTCCTTGAAGGGGTAGAGGTTGCAGATGACATAGTCGACCTTGTTGATGTTCTGGTCGGCAAGGTCCTTCTCGTCGGAGGCAAGGTCGCGAGCTAGGATACCGGCGTGGACAGCTGGATGCAGCGTCTTGACGCGGCCAGCGAGCATCTCGGGTGCATGAGTAATGGCCGACACATCTCTATACCATTTGGTCAGCTTGAGTTATCTCATAGACGGCGGGGGAAGAGCTCTTACTCAACTGCAAAGCCTGACTCTCTGATCATCTTGGCCGTTCCGCCAGACGCCAGAAGGCGAACATTCTGCTTGATCAATCCCTTGGCCAAGTCAAGAAGGCCCGTCTTGTCGTAGACGGAGATAATCGCTATGTCTCTACGTCAGTATTATAGAGCAACAGCAATATATAACTTTCGATCGACTTTACCTGTCTTTGCCATTTTGAGATGATAGATCCACCACTGTCAACTAAATGGCGTAGTAGAATTTATATTGGTAAATGGCAACCTTGATTACTGGATTGTCATTCACAAACGGTATCTGCTCATGGAAAAATCGACGGAGGGGTACAATCATCGGCATGGCATGGTGGGGTGTAACATTTTTTGTGGGGGCCGTTTCCCGCCTACGGCTCTGTTTGCTGTCTGTTTTTCGGCCTGACAATTAGGGATTCAGATAGGGAATCCTGTAAGGCATCACACAAACATCACAAACACAGAGAGGAAGCACGTGCACTCTTCGGTAGCGGCATCGCACCTTGCCGAGCGAGCAAGCGGGAGGCAGTATAAAACTTTTTTTCTCGCGCGATTCTTGTTCCCTTTTCTTTTCTTTCCATAATAAAACAACGCAAAACCAACTTTCTCATTAAAAGCGTTCCTGTGAGAAGCCCGCTGTCCTCGTGGCAGTGTGTGGCTCTATGAAACATGGAAATCGTCAAGTAGAAAGGAGAATTGACATCGTTCGCGGTCGGTCCTGGGTGAGGCGCTTCGCTGAAGCATCTTCGGATGTTGTGCGGAGGGTCTCAAAGACTGGCTGTACATACTTCTTATACATGCACTGTGTAGCAGATTGGGGGCAAAATTCATAGCTAGCAAGCATACTACTGTAGCTGGGCATCCTGGCATAGCTGGCAGGGTGTTTTCTGTAGACCGAATTGTGTGCATGTACGCATGCGTGATGTGACCTACAACTGGCCTGCAACTGGAAGGATAAGTTGACGCTGTGTTAAGCGCTGTGGCGATCAATTTGTAATTTTCAAGGAGCACCACATGTTGTGCATTGATTATTGCCACGGAAGGAAGCATGCCGCAAGTCGTGACCACTTGGCGCCGATCGGTCTGGCTCGACGCATCTATCGCAATTTCAATCACTTCCAAGCATATGATTCGACATGCCTGGTCGGTGAGATAAACAGCTCTACCCCTGATTAACCCCCAAAGGACGTGCGGTGATTGGGCAATCTACGCAAATGTGTGGCTAAATGGCGATATACAAGCAC